ATTCCAGGGTCAGAAATTAAAAATAAGCGTGAAGACACAGAAATCACCAATTTTCTTAATACTAAATAAAGGCGAGTGTTAACAATAGAAAATTTGATATGGCCGTTTGAAAGCTGCATTTTAATTTTTGAGTCTATATGAAAACTTTTGTTTTATGTCGTTTTAAGTGAGCAATGTAAAGATGAATTTAATAAAAAATTTCACAAACGTTTTAGTTTGTATCTCCTGTTCTGATTTATTTACGTAGGCCACATTTATGCCATTGCATGTAGATTACAATGTTTTGACGTTGTATAGTAATCGTAAGGATGGGTGGACTCGTTTTGATGTTATCACCATTTTTGTAATTGTTTTATCTGAGAAGCATTATTTATTTAAATTGTATGTTAACTACGAAATTATTCCACATATTCAATTTTTTTGACAAACTTACATTTTATATAGCAGTGAAAGTGGGTTAAGTAAAAAGTAGTGAAAATCAAGTAAAAAGCGTGAAAAAATTACTTCAGGAAAAGGATGTTAGAAGACTGGAAAAAGCACATTTTTGGAACGCCTCTCGTATTTGAATTCAATTCACTGTAATAAATAACAGAAATAGAAATTAAAATTAAACTGGAAGTTACAAAAATCGCAAATCTTCGTAATACTAAATAAAGGCGAGTATGAAGAATGGAAAATTGGCTAAGGCCAGTCGGAGAAATGAAAGATGGTATCAAGGGACAACCTTGTCGGATGCGTCCGCTGAGTATATATAAACGAAGGTGGAGATCACCTCTTCAGTCAGACATCAACCATCATGGATTTCAAATGTTCTGTGTTCTTTTGTGTCGTTCTGTGTTTTGTGGTAGCCCACGCTGCTGAGAAGTACACGACCAAGTACGACAACATCGACCTGGACGAGATCTTGCGGAACCAGAGACTGTACAAAAACTACTTCGACTGTCTCAGAAACCAGGGGAAATGCACACCCGACGGAAAAGAGCTCAAAGGTACCATTAAAAAAAATTCTGTATATTTCATCAATGCGTATTTTTTTATTTTAACAATTGTTTGTATTTATAGAGGCTCTGCCTGATGCGTTGGCCAATGGGTGCGCAAAATGCAGTGAAAAACAGAGAAAAGGTTCAGAGAAGGTGATCAAGCACCTCATTGAAAACAAGTCCGAAGATTTCAAAGTTTTGGAAAAACTTTACGACCCGGAAGGCGTGTACAGGAAGAAATACGAAAAGGAGGCCAAAGAGCTCGGAATCAAAGTGTAAATTATTGTATTTTGTAATGTATATTATTAACAGATTGTAAATATATATTACCTAACTGAAACAAAACAATGTATAATTTATTTTTATTTTCACCTTTTTCCTGCGCTCTTTGGGAAGAAATTATGCGAGGTCAACCCCTCTTTAAAGAAAAACCTAACATTTACATCGTACAACATAAATGTACCGAGATCAATTCCCACATGGTTTGATAAAAAAGAAAATATTTCATTGAAGTTAGAGTGAATTACCAGCATATTCAATCTTTGATAATGAGAAATGTCAATATTTAAATATATCCATTAGAATTCTGGAATAATGTGTGTTTGGTTTTTACATGCACTGAACGATATGCCAAAATTGCATAAGTTCAACCAAACCATTCATGTATAAAGTGTGCTTACATAAAAATATTATTTCTGAAGAATTATTTTTATATTTGAACAAAAGTAAACAAACATCAAAATGAAAATAGTATGTGTATCTTCTCTTGTCAGAACGAGTTTGTACGAGAATACTTATGTTACTATTATTAAAATTAATTAATGCATTATAAAAACAAAGTTACACTTAAATATTTTAAGACAAAACAGAAGGAAGTAAAAGGATATTATGTAATTAAAATTATACCTCTCAATTAGCAGCTCTAAACAAGATATGTTTTGAAAATAGTACAAAANGCAGCGAAAAACAGAGAAAAGGTTCAGAGAAGGTGATCAAGCACCTCATTGAAAACAAGTCCGAAGATTTCAAGGTTTTGGAAAAGCTTTACGACCCGGAAGGCGTGTACAGGAAGAAATACGAAAAGGAGGCCAAAGAGCTCGGAATCAAAGTGTAAATTATTGTATTTTGTAATGTATATTATTAACAGATTGTAAATATATATTACCTAACTTAAACAAAACAATGTATAATTTATTTTTATTTTCACCTTTTTTTCTGCGCTTTTGGGGAACGAAGAATACAAATTCAACCTTTTAAAAACCACATTGCACGATATACCAAAATTACACGAGTAAAACCATTTATGTATGAAGAATGCTTACTTAAAATATTACTAAGCTTTTATGCAATCAATGAAATTACGATATACCAGTAGAATAAACCTTATATTTCAGCAAAATGACAATAGTATTTGGATCTTCGTCTGCCAGAACCAGTATGTAGAGAAGAGTCATTATTAAAATTTATTAATGCATTATTAAAAAAACCTACATTACATATGAATATTGTAAGACAAAACAGAAAAGAAAAAGCAAAAAGAAATTATACAATTTAAAATTAAACTTTTCAATTAGCAGCTTTCAGTACGATATGTTTTGTAAATAGGACAAGATTAACTTAATTATTTCTAGTAATTATATCACACAACCATTTTTTCTATGAGATTTTTTATACTGAAATATTGCAGTTTAAAATTATTCACGATTAAGAAGATTCAGCAAAAAAGATATAGAAACATCTTTCAAGCTTATATAATTGCTTAAGAGCGCATAAAATTTACTTTGCTAAGTTCTTAAACTAAAAAAATTGTGAAATTGTGAGATTTGTGTGTTTATGAATTTGGAATAACGTGTTTTACTAGCATTCACTGAAAACCATGACAAAGTTATATAGGTAAAACCAATTATAAATGAAGAATGATTGCATAAAATATTGCTACTTTTATATTGGGACAAACCAGTAAAAATAAATCTTATATTTGATCAAGAGGTATATTTCACGAGTAATATATTTGATCAAAAGATAATGGATTGGATCTTCGTCTACCAGGACCAGTATGTACGAGAAGGATTATGTTATTATTAAGATTTCTTATTGGATTATATTAAAAAAACAATGTTGCATTTGAACATTTTAAGACACAACAAGTAAAGAGCAAAAGAAAATTATTTAATTGAAATTAAACTTCTTAATTAGCAGCTCTATACACGATATTTTTTGGAAATAGAACAGATTACCCTAACTATTTCTAATAATTACATCATGCAATTATTTTTTCTGTGAGGTTTTTTTATACTAAAATATTGCAGTTTATAAAAATTAAGGATTGAGCAGATTCAGAAAAAATAGATAAATAAATATATATAGAAACATCTTTCGAGATTACATAAATTGCATAAAGAACGCGTAAAGTTTACTTTGCTAAGTTTTCAAGCCAAAAAGCTGATGAAACTGTGAGGTTTATGTGCCTATCCTCACTGGTCCAATCTGTCAAACGCGTTTCGGCATTTTTCCAAAATAGTACGAAAATTGTTTGTCTCCTTACGCTATAAAAATGAGTTTATAATGAATTAGGGAGCTGAAAAACATGAAAAAATAGATTATTAATAATCACAATCTGAAAATATGTCGGTAGAAAAAAAACTGGAAACGGCCTAATCTTCTATGAATTTTGAAACTAATAATCGTGTCTCGGTCACAGAAAATTACAAAAATCATGGTAACATTAAACCGAGTCCACCTATCCATAGTGTGAGACATTCTTTCTGATTTTCCGTAAAATTTTTATTGAAGAGTTTTTTTTTTTGCAAATATATGCCCTAATATAAAATTTATTTCTTGTTAATACACAATATTTTAACCTACTCTGTTACGTCCCTCGATCAAAGAAATACCAATTTCATTCTGGAAGAACCAATTTGCTCGCCCGTCGATTGCTTTTTTTCGTATCTTGCGGTTTTTGAAAAAGAGATCGTTTACGCACACTTTAAAACCTAAAAATACGTATTTTTATAGCAAACAAAAAAATCAACCTTTTTTGATGGATTATCCGCGCCTGGATAATTTTTTCCAACGATGTTCGGCAATTCTCTTAAAAATATCTAATTCCTCTGGATTTTATCCAGTATTCTCAGAATCTCGACCGTTTGATAGGTGCATTTTCATATTTGAGTCTGTATAATGTCAATCCTCATTTAATGTCATTACAAATGAGATACATAAAGATGAAATTAACAAAAACCTCCCAAACGTTTTATTTTATATCTACGGTTCTGATTTAATTACAGAGGTCACTTTAGGTCATTTAGGTATATTAGAGCGTTTTGAGTACTTTACAAATCCTATGAATGGGTAGACTTGTTTTAATATTATCACCATTGGGCACTCTCAATACGACACACAAGAATGACACATCTACACAGAAAACAAACACTTCGAGCTCTGAAGATGATCTCAATAAAGATCGAAACGTTGGCACGATAAAGAAAATGTTTTTCTAAAACCTACGTCACACCAGACCGCATCTCACGAACTCCAAATAATCATTGGTTAACTGTCACTAAACACCACACATTATCACCAGTTTGAAATTCTCTTCGACGGAAAAGTGATTATTATTTTCGAAATTGTATGTAAGCTAAGAAATTATTCTATATATGCATTCTTTTGACATACATCGTACATATCGAAAAGTGGGTTAAGTAAAAAATTGTGAAAATCAAATTGGATTCATGGAACAAATCACTTCAGGAAACTATGCTATGTTAAAAGGTTCGGAAAAGCATATTCCTGGGGCATTTGCACCACCACTCGTTTTTGTATTCAATTCGCTGCAACCTAAAATTAAATATGAAGTTAAAGAAATCGTTAATTTTCTTAATACTAAATAAAGCCGATTGTTAAGAGTGGAAAATTGGCTAAGGCCACCCGGAGAAATGAAAGATCGTATCAAGGGACAACCTTGTCGCATGCGTCCGCTGAGTATATATAAACGTAGGTGGAGTTCACCTCTTCAGTCGGACATCAACCATCATGGATTTCAAATGTTCTGTGTTCTTTTGTGTCGTTCTGTGTTTTGTGGAAGCCCACGGTGCTGAGAAGTACACGACCAAGTACGACAACATCGACTTGGACGAGATCTTGCGGAACCAGAGGCTTTACAAAAACTACTTCGACTGTCTCAGAAACCAGGGGAAATGCACGCCCGACGGAAAAGAGCTCAAAGGTACCATTTGAAAAAAAAATCCTGATTATTTTATCACTCTGTATTTTTTTGTTTTAACAATTGTTTGTATTTATAGAAGCTCTGCCGGACGCGTTGGCCACTGGGTGCGCAAAATGCAGCGAAAAACAGAGAAAAGGTTCAGAGAAGGTGATCAAGCACCTCATTGAAAACAAGTCCGAAGATTTCAAAGTTTTGGAAAAACTTTACGACCCGGAAGGTGTGTACAGGAAGAAGTACGAAAAGGAGGCCAAAGAGCTTGGAATCAAACTCTAAATTATTGTTTTTTTTACGTATATCAGCAGATTTTAAATATATTTTATCCTACATAAACAAAACCGTGTACAATTTATTTTTTTCTTTCCCTTTTTCCTTCGCTTTTATGGAAGAAAGAATGAGCAGCATTCAGCAGGATATTCCATCTTTCAGAATGAGAAATGTCAATGTTTAAATGTAGGCAACATTTGAATTTCGGAATAACGAGTGTTTTGTTTTTAATATTCACTGAACAACATACAGAAATTACATAGGTAAAAAATAGAAATTAATCCGTTTATATATGAAGGATGCTTACATAAAATAATACTACTTTTTTTTTACAATCAATTATAGTGGGACAAACCAGAAGAATAAACTGTTGTCTCTGATGAGGGGACGTGGGAGTCCCGAAATATACTATACTAGCAAAAAAACTGGTTGTTTCATTTCCATGTTTTTTAAAAACCTGATCAGCTTAATTAATAACACTGCATCTCTCAGCAAGATTGTTTTGTAAATAGGTCAAGATTAACTGGATTATTTCTCGTAATTATCACATTTTTTCTGTGAGGTTTTTTCTACTAAAATATTGCAGTTTATAATAATTAAGGATTGAGCAGGTTCAGAGAAAGTGTTTATTTTAAAATACAACTAAAAATTATAGTTCTTATAGAAAAACATCTAACTGACATGTAGTACAATACTAAAATTACACAAGTCTGCTAATAAATTAACAAAAAAGAAAATGCACCTTCGATAAACAAGAATATGTTTAAAATTGATGTGAAATAATAAAAATTAATGATGATGAAGTACTCCTAATAAACCTCTGTACTTGTAAGTTCAACCTTAGTTTTATGCATTTATGTTTAGTGGTCAATTGACCAGGTTTCTTTCAATTAATTATTCTTTGTTAGTCTTAGTTTTATGTTCGACTTAGAAATATGATATAATATTTTATAGGGAACCATATATCGATTGCAGTGAATTGAATCCAAAATCGAGTGGCGGATAAAATGCTGCACGAATATGATTTTTAGCGTATGTTTCCATGAATTTAAATCGTTTTTCTCAATTTTTCACTTACCCCACTTTGGGCTGCTGTGTAACATGTAAGTTTGTCAAAAACAAAAAATTATTATGTGGAATAATTTCTTAACTTACAAGTTTCTGTTTTTAGCCTTTGTTGTGTATTTCAAGGCAATTAAATATCAGACGATTTGTATTTTTAACTAGGATAAAAATAAATATAATAAATATAAGCTTGAAAACTGTTAATATATTTAAGGGTTGGCCTTTTTCGTCTCGGCTAAATTTCTCTGGAATATATAAAGTTATCAAAAAAAGAAAAAAAAGGAGAGCCGCAATGGTTTAGACGTTGACACTGCGTTCATCACTGTAAGGTAAATGTCCCGGGTTCGAATCCACCGGCCTTGCCTTCAAATCCGACTTACTTACATGTGGGCTTTTTTCAAAAACACCGGCACCCGAACGTTTATATAAAGTCGAAGTTGAAATACCCTCGTACAAAAAGAATATTTGTTAGTCTAGTTTTAAATTTTTACTGCTTTTTTTACATATTTGTTCAGTACAACTTTTAAATTTTACATGAGAAGTATACTTTTTACCCAATTTTTTAAAGGACGTTTTACACCGAAAACGTTGGTGCAATCGGATTTTGAATCGGGTAAAAAATAACAAAGTTATGGCACAGAATGTGAAAAGAAATATCGTTTTTATTATAATTTTTTGAGATGTCATTTCTTTGTTAATTTTTATAAAAATTCAGTGCTTTGTTTTTAAATAGGTCATTTTCTGTTTGCAACGAATTGTGTACGGGGCACCCGTCAAACTGCAATATCAGTCTTTGGCGTACCAGCAGTGGAACAACTTCAAGCAATGTTGGTAAATCCTCTCGGAGAAAATTCAGGAACTGAGCTCCATTTAAATTGGTTTGATAGAAATATAACATATAGTATAAAAATAATCAACTGATTTCACAGGAGTCCACCCTAAACATTTATGCTATAAACAATTCAGGGGTTTTCCAGTGCCCACGTTCAATTCCACAGATTGAAAATACGACTTGTGGCGAACTTGGATTCATCGGTCCACTGGTAGAATATTTTCTTATAACATTAACCGTATATCATAATCAGTGTTCCAGCAAGATGAGAGCGATATGGTTGTAATATTGTATGGTTTGAGGACATCTCTAATCTAGTTCATTCAAAAATCCAAAATCTTTCCAGTATTTCGAAGGGAGAAGAGTGGATTTTCGAGAACATACAACAAAATGTTTAGTTCTTTATCAAAATGATATGACCGGTTTCTTGATGGCCCCTCAACGGATCCAAATCACCTCATATTAGGTTTTTTCTAGGAGTACAACTCGACTGCAGACAAGCAATTTCGCCATTTTCAATGATAGTATCGTACATATCGTTAAAGATCATGGAGGTTAACAAAAGTTGAATTGTAGATTTAATGCTTTTCATGTTGTCTAAATCCAATAAGACCACTTGTGTAAACAATATCAAAACAATCATTCACAAAGCAGAGAAAAAATTAAGAACCAGTTTATTAAAAATATTTATGAATTTCTTGGGATGATGTTGATGGGTAGCAGGAGTACGCTTTTTTGTTAATGAACGGTTGCATTAAAAAAAAGGCATTCTTCATATTCCGAACATCAAGAATAACAAACAGGAACACAGAGATGTTCGAAACATGTAGAATACCTTTTTTCAAAAATAATCCCATTTATTAAGAAAAAAGTGCTTAACCACTTCTAGCAGACCCATCAACATCATCCAAGAAATTCGTAAAATCGAGGCAACAAAATAGCAAATGAAAATAAAAATAAAAACGACATTAAGATATTTGCTTTCACATTCTGTGCCATAACTTTGCTTTTCCTTGGCCAATTTAAAATCTGACTGCGCTATTGTTTTTGGTATCAAACGTCGTTAAAATCACTCGGTGAAAAAGTACCATCTCATTTAGAATTTCAAAGTTGTACTGGTTCTGTAGTATCCTGACAACAAATATTTTTAAAAAGCAGTAAAAATTTAAGTTGAGGCAAAAAATATTGCACATTTTTGTTTGTTTTATCGATGACGCTATCTGTTCGAGAGAAATTCAGCCGGGTCATCTAAAAATGACACCCTATGTACAGGGTGTCCCACGGAAGATGTCCACCCCCTTCCTCCATTTTGGCCCATTTTTGATGATCTTTTTTTTTCAATTTTCGTACTTCACAATAGGGATATGTAATGTTGACACATTCTTTATGAAATTTATATAAGCTTGCAAGCTGTTTCGATATTTTTCATGCATTTATTTGTTTTTCTGAATCTTCCCAGTTCTTAATTATTATAAACTGCAATATTTTAATAGAAAAAACCTGACAGAAAAAATAATTGTAGGTGATAATTACGAGAAATAATCCAGTTAATCTTGACCTATTTACAAAACAATCTTGCTGAGAGATGCTAATTGAGGAGTTTAATACTCTTTTATTAATTAAGCGTCGGTCACATAAAAAATAATGTGTGACATTTAGTTACCATGATTATTTAGAGATGGTGGATGCGGTCTGGTGTGATGTTGGTTAAAAAAAAAACATTTTTCTACGTTTCAATCTTTTGCGACCATCTTCTGGGCCTGGGATTTATAAACATGTTTAAATTATATAAATACATATAAGATATGAATAAATTTATACAAAATATAAATTGTTTAGGTTTAATCAAAGCCTTCAAAAACTATAGAACTATTCACACCCTTTTTTCCAAAATCGAAGATCCCACCAAAATCTGAGACAAATGAGTCTGATGTAATTTGCCAAATCAATTGTATAAATTGCCCGGCAATATACATCGGAATTATATCCCATTATCTCATAAGAGGGTAAAACAACATATCTATGATTGCAGAAAACCCCCCAAAAAAATTCTACTACTGGCTACCCACCATTTTGAACCCCAACACAACATCGATTTCAACAATCCAAAAATATTAAACATAGACCACAATAAACATAAATGTAACTTTTTAGAACAGACAACTTATCAACAGAGATAAACACAGCATCAATTAGGGAACAGACCCATGTAAATTCAGTCGCAGCTCCCGCAGCAACTCACGAGCTCTAAATAATGAAAAATAATTTTATGATCTAATTACTAGAAATAATTAGGTTGATCTTGTCCTATTTACAACACATAACTTGCTGAGAACATTTGAGGAGATTTATTTATTTATGAGAAGTTGTCATATTTTATGTAATCATACTTCATATGTAAATGGTTTTACCTATATAATTTTGACATGTGGTTCAGGGAATGCTAAAAACAAAACACATGTTATTCCAAAATTCATGTGTTGTCAACATTTAAATATTACATTTCTCATTCTGAAAGATTGTACATCCTGCTGAATTCTGCTCATTCTTTCTTCCACAAAAGCGAAGGAAAAAGGTGAAGGATAAATTGAATGGTTCACTGTTTTGTTTGTGTAGGATAAAATATATTTAAAATCTGCTGATATTTGCGTCAAAAAATACAATAATTTACAGTTTTTGCAGCTCTTTGGCCTCCTTTTCTGTCTTGTTTTCAGTGAGGTACTTGTTTACTCTCTCTGAGACTTTTCTCTGTTTTTCGCTGCATTGTGCGCACTCGTGAACAACTCGTCTGGCAATACGTCTCTAAATACAAACAAATATTTAAAAACAAAACAAAAACCCAGTAATAAAATAAAAATGAATTTTGTATGATGGTACCTTTGAGTTGTTTTCCGTCGTGTCTGCATTTCCTCTCGTTTGTGAGACAGTCGAAGTAGTTTTTGTAAAGCCTCTGGTTCCGCAGGATCTCGTGCATGTCGACGTTGTACATCGTGTTCATCTCAGCACCGTGGCCGACTACAAAGCACAGAACGACACAAAAGGACACAGAACATTTGAAATCCATGATTGTTGATTTCTGACTAAAGAGTTCATCTCCACCATTGTTTTTATATATAAAGCGGACGAATGCGACAAGGTTGTCCCTTGATACGATCTTTCATTTTCCCAAGTGGCCTTAGCCAATTTTTCCATCCTTTACAATCAGCTTTATCTATCTATAGCATTCCCAAGTCACGTGAAACCTTTTAAAAGTCACGTGTAACCCTTTACACATAAGTTGAAACCTTTTCCAAAGCAAATGTAACACTTTTTAACTCAAATGTTATATTTTTTATTCCAATCTAAACCTTCCTAGAAAGGACATCAATATTTTTTATTTTCAAAAATTTTATTAGCTCAAATATACAGCAAACTAACGTAATTTAATTTTTGAAAAACACTACTTTTTATTGAACATTGTTCCTTTTCACAAAAACGAAGGAAAAATTATAAAACAAAAGTTCATTTTTTCTTAGAAAATTATGTAAACTGAGCAGTTTCTATAACTTTGCTATGAATTTATAATTTTTATTAAAAAAAATATGCAGAAACTGGCAGACTCATATGGAAAGGGTTGCATTTTACGCTGTAAAAGTTAAAATACGCTTGGAAATAGTTTAATATTAAGAAAATTAACGATTGTAACTTCATGTTTAATTTTAAGTTTTAACTCTGGATTATGATATGATAATGGTATCGGTGGTTGCAATGAATTGAGTGGCGGGTCATATGCTCTTCTGAGTCTTTTAAAATAGCATAGCTTCCTAAAATAATTTTACTTCATCGAAATACCGGACACTTTACAGAAAGTTAGATGCATATAAACTACACCCAATGCCACGAACCGGGCCTCAAAAATCAAATTCGGAGATATAAAATAAAACGTTTGAGGTGTTTGTGTTGATTTCGTCTTCGCTTATATAACATAAAAACCAAAGGCTGTTCATGTACTCTGAAAATAGAAAAAGGCAGCTTTCCATCGGTCGTAATACCGTGATAAGAAGAGTAATAAGTACATACATTTTTAAAGTTATCACCAGATATCTGAGAAAAACAAAATACAGGCAAAAAATGTCTTTTTTTGGTTTGATATTAAAAATTCGTATTTAAGGACTTTAATGGGTGCTCAAACCAATTTGAATCGCGTTTTCAAAAAATATTTTGGACTATTTACTGGAAGCGTCTTTTGGGTTTTATAACTTTTTATATATATAGTCCCGCTTAATATAATCTTGTTTATTATTTTATCCATCTAGGTAAAAAACAAATCGACTTACATAAAATTCTTCATACACAACATAGGAAGAAAATCATATTTTAAAATGGTTTTGTAAATTATTTAATTTTTTTGTATGCTAGGGTCCACATCCTAGAATAAATTTGCCCCTGGCTGATCCAGTCCAATTTTAGTCTCAATGCCTAAAACGATCTCGAATCATTTTTTTTTTCAAAAACAATTTTTATGCCTAATTTACTTGAAATTTGTTTATGTTTGTACATTTGATATCATTTAATATATTATTTTTTATTATTTTTCTTCCCTTTTAAAACCAAAATGAATCGACTCTATTTATATATATGCACATATTGCTTTCTTGTATCACCAAAAAGTTTCATTAAAATAGGTGATCCCATATCCTATATTTTTAGCATCCTCTTGAAAATGTATACAGTACAGCATGTATACAGAGGTTTAGGTAAGGTATGTACATCGTATTTCAAGTGCTGTTGCATGACCCAGCTTGGAATCTAGTGTCATTTTCAGATGACTAAACGTATCGTTGTATGTTATAATAGCTCCATCGATGATGAGACATGGAATATGGTACATTTTTTATTTTTAAAATTTTATGTACAAATTTTAGCCTATCGAACCTATTTCTACATTTTTGGTTCATTTATTTTTTTACACACCTTGTGATCTTAGAAGATATAAGAAAACGTTCCATTTTTTACATCAATCATTTTTGGAAATCAGGAGTATATATCAAGGAAAGTGTCGGTCAGTCTAGTAGACAGTTGTAGTATGCACGTACTACACACATATGCCAGTACTTGTCAAAAATATTAAGGAAGATAGCAGAACAAATTAGTTTTCTTTTAAGTGACTTTTCTATTACATCTCTTATTCGGTGAATTTGGTCTATTTTTGAATGTTTTGTTCGGAATCCAAATTCATGGTCTGGTATAAGCTTATAAGATGATTTTTTAGCAGACAAATTGCGAACTTTAACGATATTATATTGACGTCAATTTTTATTGAAATTTTAGATTTACATAATTATAGATTGTAGCAAACCCTGCTATCTGCTATCATCGTACCTTTGAAATTCTGACAAATAATTTTATTAACTTTCACAGATAACTTGAAACCTCACTGTTGCAATCGTCGCATTTTTAACGATTTCGTAAGAATTCTTTTTATTATTATTTCTTTATTGATTTTTATACAATATTTATACAATTCCAATTACAATTAAGGGGAGAAAATTCGAAAGGTAGGTTGAGATGGGAAGTTGGGGTCCGAGTGAATCGAAGTCACGATAGCTCAAGTGGTAGAGGAGCGGCGTATCTAGCCGAAGGTCGTGGGTTCTAATCCAGCTTATGACACTATTTTTTTCATTTCAACCAATACCTTACATAAAGATTAATTAATTGAAAAAAATATTTATACATTTAACAATGGATGGGGGGCGTCGGTGGCCGCAACTGTTTATGCGTTGACACGGCGCTCATCAGGTACACATCAGGTATGGTAAAGGTACTTGGTTCGAATCCAGCGGCCCTGCATTCGAACCCGACATACTTACAAATTACAAAATTTGTTTACAATTTACAAAATAAAATGGATGGGGAGAGAAACCAGCCATTGCTGGAACTCTCAGTGTTTAGGATTGTGGTTGATTCCTTTAGGGTTGTGTTAGGAGGTAACTAGGCCAATGTCTTTTTAATCGGCGTGGAGGATTGTTCGAACGTTGAAGAGAGGGTTTGAGCTAGTAAATTGGTGTGGAAGTTAAGGAATCGAGTTCGAATCATGTCCGTCATGAATGATATGCTAGTTCTTTACGAATGATTTGGTTAGTGACGTAGAAGGGACCGATGAGGATGCGACGGAGGACTTTTGATTGAAAGGATTTGATTCTTTGGATATTGGCTTACTTGGCTAAATCCCACTGGTCGACTCTGTAAGTTCAAATCGGTCTATTTAATGCCTTATTTATCGTTAATTTTTTGTGATACCCATTGCGGATTTGGGTTTGAATTGTCCGTGTCATCGGTTGATTTCTTGTCGTTTTGCTTTATGTGCGTGTCCTGTGTAAGTCTGCGCCACCGAGTAATTAAGTCTAGGTGATCTTGGGCTGTTTTTGCTGCAAGGATAGGGTCAATATGTGAGGAGAGGATTGTGATGTCGTCCGCGAAGGTTGTGATGTGGGTGTACGGTGTATAGGTATTTCAACGGATAAACTGTGTAGAGAAATGGTCCTAGGATACTCCCTTGGGGAATGCCGACCTTGATAGGCTTGTTGTCTGAAAATTTAGAGCCAATTCTCACCTCGAACCAGCAATAACCGTCTTGAACCTATAGACGTCACAGCGGAAATCGCCAATGTTTCCGAAAAGCGCCTTTCAATATCGATTTTTTGACTTTTTGATAAAAGCCATTGTTGAAGAAAGAAGTGAGGTTAGCGATTAAAAATCTCCCGTACAAGCTAATTGCTTTGTACAGCCTATATGCACTATGCGCGTAGCCTTAGAGAGAAAATCACCTTCGCATTCAGGTTAGATCCTGTGTGTACGATATATCTTTATTTCAGGTACGGATCCTTTTATAATATACATGAATTGTGAGGTACCATTAAACACGGTCAGAGAATATGTGTGAATCGATTAAAAAAGAAACCATAAACACAACTAGTTGGATGAGTTGGAAGAGAGCTCACAGCTAGGTCATTTCAGCACCCATCGGAATCAGTCTCCAATTCACTCACTGTCACTCTTAAATTCTTTCATATTTACATATCATTCACTCAGTCAGAGTGGTGGAGTACCCTCTCTCTCTCTACACATTCACTCCAATACTCACCAGTACTAACTACCAACACTACACAAAACTATCAGTACTATATACAATAAAACAGCCCTTTTTCCTCCAAGAATCGATATACAGGACTCCCTGCCCCACTCAAGCACAATTCACATATCGGGTTGCATTCCTACGCGCTCTCTATATGGAGCCAAGACGTTGTACCCTTCAATTAGGTGGGACATACCAAGGAATATTTCTTCTACATGCCGGACACTTTTTTGTTGGGTGTTTTTTCAAAAGTAGGGATAGGGATAAAAGAGGCGGCCACAAGGCCTACTTCACCTCGACCTGAATAGATCTATTGTGCTCCTCTGTTATTGATAACTCACTGGCCAGCTTAACCAGCCTCCACAGCTTTGCCAGCGGTTCCTTGGTGTAGGATATTGCTAGTGGTTTTTCTTGTCCTAGTTGAAAGAAAGTTATATTTGGTGTTGTATAGGAAGGTTCCTCGATATGTACCTTTTAATCGAAAGGTGCCATTCCTTGGCTCCATATCGTGAGCGTGTAGGAAGGCCACCAGACATTAGAATTGTAACTGAGTACGGCAGCGAGTATTTGAAAGTAAAAATCTTTGTAAATGAATCTTGTTTTGTGCTTCCTATTGTGTATATTGAGAGTGATTGTATTTATTATCATGAATGTGTTGTGTAAGAGGTACTCGAATACTGAGTACCGCGTCGACCTTAGGAATAGGGATAGGGATGTAATAGATGGCCACAAGGCTTTCTGCACCTCGTCCTGAATAGATCTATTTTGCACCCCTGTTTTTTATAACTCACTGGCCAGCTTCAGGTGTTAATCGACCTTCATAGCCTTACCAGCGGCTCCTTAGTGTAGGATCTTGCTTGTGGTTTTTCCTGTCCTAGTGGCAAGAACCTGCATAGACCTTCACAGAAACATAAAACGTGTTCTGCGGTCTCCTCCTCTTCCTGGCAGTATCTTTCTTCTGTCTGTACTCCTGTCTGGTGTATGTGCTTTCATAAGTGGCAGTGCCCCCGTCAGGAATCCAACCAGAATCCTGGTTCGGTTGCGGTTGCCTTCCAGTAATTCTTTTGTAAGTTTTGCGTATGGTCCTTCTATGAATCTCTTTGCGTTTCTCACACCTGTTGTATTGTTCCACCAGGTTTTAGACTCATTAAGGATCCATTTTAAGATGTATACTCTTTTTGGCAGGCTGCTAGACTACAGTAGGGTTCTGGGCCCATAGAGTCCATGTTGTCTCCCTTTTTGGCCAACATGACAACCTTTTCGTTGCTCCTTCTAGTGACCCATGCCAGGGTGAGGTCATTAGTGTCACTGACTTTCGACGTAATTCTGTGTCAACGTCGCATAGCTTATCCTTAATAGAGGATAACCCGTCTTCTACGAGTCGGGTCCTCCGAGGGCCACCTATCGACACTCTTGATACGTTGATGAAACGATGTTAAATATCTCGATTAGTAACTGGTTTAGATATGACAAATATATGACTTTTTTACAGTAATTAATTTATTTTGAACATTTCTATCCCCAAATTTTCAGCTTCCTTCTTATAGTTCTTTTTTTAAGGTTCCGTTAGAGTCGTAATGTTTTTCCAGTTTGACGTCATCTTTGATGTTAATCTTCAATGAGGTACTTAATACCTTATTCGCCTTTTTCCTCAGCCTGTCGGTTCATTTGGAACAAGCGGTTCAAAGCGCTTCAGGGAGAATGTCTAAAAATTAAAAAAAAATATATATATATATAAAATAACAGCTGTGTGTGTTATTTAACTCTGGCCTCGGGAGTACATTTCAACCAGTCGATCAGGCAGTTCAAATAGATCCTGTACATTCTTTGATTTCTGAGAACCGCGTCTATGGCTAAGTTGCCGTACCTGTCTGTGTTTCAACCGTGACGGCGGCAGCGACGCAAAAGGAAAGCATGAACATAACAAAAAGATGAGCACATCGTGTTCCGGATGTCACCGGGGTTCTGACCCACGTGGAAAAGTCCAATTTATACTGAGTACAATCGGAAAGATGACTTCCTTCGGCTTATTTAATAATACCCTTTAATTGTATTATTGTCCTTGCTAGAGCGACAATAATAGACCGCTCCTGGAGGTTTAGGTAATAACGTGGAACTTTATTTTAACGTATGACAAATTGAAAACTCTTTTTAAAACTTATATGGTGTGACGTATGTTTTAGAAAAACGTTTTCTTTATCGTGCCTACGTTTCGATCTTTATTGAGATCATCTTCAGGGCCTTGCATTGCCTGCATTTCAACAAAACGTTCTCTGATTGATAGGTGATGCAAGTTTCTTTTGAATGATGGCGATGTCCTTCAGAATACTCTTTGCTTGGTGTCCATATATAGTTGAAATCTATTCATAGAATCCCATGTCCTTCGTTATTCTCGTGTAGAAATGTGTGGTGTTTAGTGACAGTTAGTTAATGATTATTTGGAGATCGTGACTACGGTATGGTGTGACGTAGATTTTAGAAAACAATTTTCTTTATCGTGCCAACGTTTCGATCTTTATTGAGATCATCTTCAGGGCCTGCATTTCAAAAACAAAAGTCACACCAGACCGCATCTCACGATCTCCACATAATCATTAACTAACGGTCACTAAACACCACACATCATTTTAAAACTTCCATTCATGTGAATACCTACGATTATGCCAATTAATCGTGCTCATCCGCCGGTTGTTGAACTTTTGACACAATCGAGACAATGAGACATTTCACAGTTGATAGTTAGACCTTGACAAATGAACATCAACATCTTGTCTGTGCTATCTCCAAATATTACTCTTACAGCTACAATCAATAAATTAGGATATTATCTTTTTTTTTAATGTTAGAAAATAGTATCGAAGGGATCCCTTCCGATAAAACGATTATTGATTAGTTTCATGAATTTAAATACATCAGTAAATTCGTTGATTCAAATATCCTCCATTTTGAAATTAAACTTTGAACCATGACATCCAATATACACCAAAAATTCAGTTTTCCTTACTCTAGACCATTATAAAGCAACTTTTAATCTAAACAATTCACTAGTTTCGTGGTCCGCTTGACCAATTAATATATTACAATTAATTAAGGTTTTCAGTTGAGATAAAAAAGTCAATGGCACGAGCGGGATTCGAACCCACGACCTTCGGCTAAATACGCCGCTGCTCTACCACCTGAGCTATCGTGACCTCGATCCGTTCGGACATCAACTTCCCATCTCAACCCCACCTTTTGAATTTTCCCTCCTTTTTGCCATTTTTCAAATGTCGTGTAATCGGATTGCGTATCAAGCCGAAGATCGTGGGTTCGAATCCCGCTCGTGCCATTGACTTTTTATCTCAACTAAAAGCCTTAATTAATTATAATATATTAATTGGTCCAGCGGACCACGAAATTAGTGAATTGAATAAGTTTAAAAGGAAGTATACCCCATCTCAACCATACCTTTTTTTTACTTTTCCCTCATTTTTGCCATTTTTCAAATGTCGTGTGATCAATTTGATTCTCGGCGACAAATGAAAAGGCCACGGAGAGCTTTAGTGAAGGTATACTTCATATTACAATTAATTAAGGTTTTCAGTTGAGATAAATTTAATAAATAAATTTTAATCTAAACGTTCAAAATAGTGGTTCTATGAGACTTCCAACTCTTCGATTGCTACTTAAACTTAGATGCGAGGAAGTTTTCCTCAATTCTGTGACATGGAAGGAAGACGACGGAAATTGTTTGTGTGCGCTCTGTAACGTAAGAGTTAGAGAAGATATTTTTCATTTTGTTGCCCAGTGTCCTATCTTGTAAGAGCTCCGTATCCTGTGTCTATGGTCTAAAACGCTTTCCAGGTCTCAGTTCCTTGATCTGTTAAATATCTTGGATATTGAGAGGTCGAAAGGTCTGGCACACTGCACGTCATGCCTGGCAAAATAGGTACGAATACAACATCGAAACAATTTTTTTATTTGTTGTACCTAAAATCAGCTCGTATATATAATTTAGGTTTTATTTATAGTTATCTATTGTTACTATTATTATACAGTTTATTTTTATTTTTTGCACGCCTGTAAAAGAACAATCAACTTCCGGCAGACGGATACCATCCATGCTGTAAAATGCTTTAAATATTGTATAATATGAAATGCTCCGCTTTAATGTAAATAAAGCATGTTATCTATATATCAAAGTCAGTTTTACTTTTAAAAAAACCTGGAAAAGCCTTAAGGTTTTGTAGTTTTCCGCTGTTTGTAATGGCTGCCTTGGTACGCACGTAGAGAAAAAAAAGCCCAAACGATCATTTATCAAGTCAATAACAGCAGAAACTTATTAAAATGCAAAAAGAAAAAACTAAAAATCTAATTCGTATTCTGAAGGCTGTTAAACGGAGCGTTAAGGAAGACGGTATAAAAGGGAGATTTCACTTGTTGTTAATCGCAGTTGATCAACAGATCGAAATGAAGTGTGTAGTGTCTATTTTCTTCCTTTCGGCCCTCGTCGTCGCCTTTGCGGCTGAAAAGTATACGACCAAGTACGACAACATCGATTTGGACGTGGTCCTCAACAACGAAAGGCTGTACAAAAAATACTTCCAATGCCTCACCAACGCCGGCCGGTGCCCTCCTGATGGAAAGGAGCTGAAAGGTAAGACAATTTTTATATTTGATAAAACAGTAAGGTGGATTTTTTAAGATTTAACCACCGAATAGATAATTATAACTAATGCTTTCTGTTAAAAGTCTAATAAACTGCAAAGATGAAGAGAAAACATACGGAGAGAGTATTTTGTTTTAAATTAATCTTTAAATAAGGTATTGGTTGAAATAAAAAAGTCGGTGTCACGAGCGGGATTCGAACCCACGACCTTCGGCTAAATACGCCTCTGCTCTACCACTTGAGCTATCGTGACTTTGATCCACTGTAACACCAACTCTCCACCTCAGGGGCGTAGGTGGCCGCAACGGTTAGGCGTTGACACGGCGCTCATCATTCTAAAGGTAAAGGTCCCGGGTTCGAATCCAGCGGCCCTGCCTTACAAATGATTTTTAAAAAAATAAAAAAAAAAAAAAAAAACCTCATCTCAACCTACCTTTCGAATTTTCCCTCCTTTTTTGCCATTTTTTTTTTATCTCAACCTATACCTGACATAAAGATTAATTAATTGAAAAAAGTTATTTGGTAAATCGGACCACGAACTCTAATGGATTTAATTTTTTTAAATCTTGAACAGTAAATTCTTCAAATATCATAATATTAGTCACGGCTTGAATATTTCGATTTTTTTTTATTGCAATAAGAAATTTTCAATTGTCTGATAAAATGTGAAATTTTTAAGGTTTTATCGAAATATGTAGACCGGCAGTTAAAATACATTAAATGAGCATTTACAATTTATTTATAATTTTGATCAAAACTAGCCCAAGTTTCTAATATTCATAAATTTAAAAAACGTGTATCCATTTCGGTAGATTGTTGTTATATATTAATAGCAATTTTTGATTATGTAATTTAGTCTAGTCAAAGTTTTTACATCATTAACATAATCACAGTAAATTCACTAATTTCGTGGTCCGCTTGACCAATTAATACTTTACAATTAATTAAGGTTTTTAGTTGAGATGAAAAAAAGTTAACGGCACGAGAGGGATTCGAACCCACGACTTTCGGCTAGATACGCCACTGCTCTACCACCTGAGCTATCGTGACCTCGATCCACTCGGACATCAACTCCCCATCTCAACCCCACCTTATGAGTTTTCCCTATTTTTGCCATTTTTCAAATGTGTAATCGGTTTGCATTCTCGACGACAATTGAATTCGAGAATCCAAACCGATTACACGACATTTGAAAATGGCAAAAGGAGGGAAAACTCATAAGGTGGGGTTGAGATGGGGAGTTCATGTCCGAGTGGATCGAGGTCACGATGGCTCAGGTGGTAGAGCAGCGGCGTATCTAGCCGAAGGTCGTGGGTTCGAATCCCTCTCGTGCCATTAACTTTTTTTCATCTCAACTAAAAACCTTAATTAATAATCACAGTAGATGGGAATGTGTTTTGGTTCATTTTTCCATAGTATAATTTTTGTTTGGAATTTTGAAAAATTTTGAAATTACAGTTTTTTAGTTTTGTTTGTAGAGAGAGAATTACAATATATTAAAATGGTTAAATGGTTCGAAAACTATGACAAATTTGGAATTTTGAAGCATAATATCGTCTAAATCGGACTTAAAAATTTTTTATGTAAAACAATATACAATGACTGATTCATTACACATTTTACTCAATGTATTCCTTATTTTACAGAGATAAGGTCAAAAAATGAAGTACAATTTAATTTAAAAAAAAATAAAGTCAGAATAAGTGGTCAAAATTATAAGAAATGGACCGTCATAATGTATAAATATTCTTATCATGTACTATTTAATTATGATTATAATTGCTATATCACAAATGGTCATTATCATTAGTTAAAAATATCACAATTTGAAATATCAACTTAAAAACTGTTGCATGAACAAGTTAAAAGTAGGACTCGTGGATGTATAGTTTAATCAATTATTTAAAATTTTATTCAGTAAGATATTTGTTGTAAATAAAACGTTAGCTTTTCTGTCAAAGACTAGCACAAGTATGTCCAATATTTTTAACTCGTTTTATGAAAAATTACTACTCGAGTTTTTCCAAACAATGGGAGAAATTAGATACAAAAGGACGTAGTCACAAAGGTTTGTTGATATCCGATTCAATGATGACAATTTGGATTATAACATTTAAAATCTAGTAAACTTTATTATTGTCTCGTTTCTGATCAGTTTATCTGGTCACGTTTGGCCATCTTTTGTTTTGGGTTTGTGCCTCTCCCAGCTTATAACCCTGACCAGCCGCCTTAACCAGACCAGTATATCAACTACCAAACTTTAAATTCTCAAACACGTTTTAATAATAATTCCACGGTTCGAGGGTCAGTGAGGGGGTCGGCAGCGCAGTATGCTGGGAAAAATACGCTAAAACAATTCCTCTCCCAAAGGCTGCAAGTATCTTTACCGCAAAGTTGACCGCATATCATCCGCGCTGAGTGAAACTGAACACATTGAGTGCAACCAATATATCATATGCACCGACTCACTCAGTGCGGTCTTAGCCATCCGTAATATCTTCACCATGGACCCACTAATCCAGGCAATGCAAGAGAAAATCAGGGAAGTACACGAACAAAGAAAAGAGGTAGTTATTGCCTGGATACCGGGCCATGTAGGCATAGAAGGTAAAAAAAATGCCGATCAAGCTGCCAAACGAGCAGCGATAATGCCACATGACCCGGAAACTCCCGTGAGCCCAGCGGACGTCAAAAAATATATGAAAAATCTTTGTTGGAAAGATTGGCAGACCCACTGGGACAAAATGACCGACAAATTAAAAGAACTAAAACAGTCGGTCAAACCGTGGACCATGGATAGTATGAGCAAAACAGAGAGAATAATGTTGACCCGACTGCGAATAGGCCACACTAGACTGACGCATGGTCATCTCTTGGCGAGAAAAAGTCCACGGAGATGCCCATTGTGCGGCGCACAAATAACTGTTAAGCATTTACTAACTGAATGCGAACTATTGGCGCCGCACAGAACAAAGTCTGGCCTTTCCTCGAGTTTGAAAGAGGTTTCACAACACAGCAATGACAACAGCAAGAAAGTAATCGGATATCTGAAGCAAATAAATGCATATGGTCGCCTTTAATGCTTCTCCACGCGTGGTTTCATTTTCCCTTCCTGAAGTGAGTGTATTTATTGGCGAGAATGTGTGAGTGTATGGGTGTGTAGTGGTCGGAATATCGAGTACCCCACAGTCCCACCAAACTAGGATAGATATCTCTTTGTGTGTTTTGGGTAGAATGAATGTATTTATTGGCGCGAAAGTGAGAGTGTATGGGTGAGTCGTGCAGGAATATCGAGTACCCCACAGTCCCACCAAACTAGGATAGATATCTCTTTGTGTGTTTTGGGTAGAATGAATGTATTTATTGGCGCGAAAGTGAGAGTGTATGGGTGAGTCGTGCAGGAATATCGAGTACTCCACAGACCCACTTTTTAGGTTAGTATTAGGCTATAATATCTTTTAGAGTGAATGGGCGGAGGCACTGTTGTAATATTAAATGCGCAATGGTTCCGCATTTTTTCTATTTGTAAATTTAGAATGATCGGTTACTGTTTGAGTGAATGCATTTATTAGTGCGATAGTAGTGTATGCATGGGTGGGTCTATGGTGGAATATCAAGGACCCCATAAACCCACCAACCTAGGTTAATATTTTAGATTAATTGTAATTTTAATTGTACGTAATGTATGGATGTATTTATTAGCGTGAACGAGGGCGGGTCTTCAGAGGAATATCGAGTACTCTAAAACCCGCATATAGGCTAGGCTAGGACTGAATGTTAGTGAATGAGATAGTTTTCAGAGCCGTGTGGGAGAGCTAAAAATATAGAAATAACCTCCCAGAACACAACTAGAAAGATCACCAGACTTCCTACAGAAAAGCTAAGTTTTAAAAAAATAAATAAATAAAATATATAAATAAATAAATTTTTAAAACGTGAGGTGGAAGAAATGCGAGGTGCCGGCAATAGCCCAGGCAGCTAGCCGGACGAAAAAAAAAAAAAAATAAATAAAATAAATAAATAATAATTCCAAGTGATTAATTTTAAATGTATTCCTTTTCTTGACAGCATCCCTGCCGGACGCACTTGCCACCAACTGTGCAAAATGTTCCAAAAAACAGAAGGAAGGAAGCGAAAAAGTTATCAATTTCATAGTCGAGAAGAAGCCGAAAGACTTCGAAAAACTTGAGGAGCTTTACGACCCCGACGGCGTGTACAGGAAGAAGAACCCGAAAGTCAAGAAACACTCAAAGAAGGAAAATTGATTTTTAACATTGCAAGTCCCTCAATATCTATATACATGTATATCTATAAATAATAAAAGTATAATTTAATGTTTTATCGCTTTTTCGACGTTTAATTGTATTGTAAATTAAAACTATATTTAACAAAACACGTTTTTCATTTGAAACAAAATTTTCACCTATTGTTTGATATATCGTAATATATTTAATTAATATATAATATATATATTGTAATATATTGTATGATTTCTATCAAATAAGCCAATTATGGTAGATAATTTTAAAGCTAGAAACAATATTATGGAATGTTTAGTACTGGTTTCTTTACATGAATATAATAATTATAATAACATACGTTTAATATGTAACTTAGAAGTTATAGATATTTCAAATTAAATTCACTCTTTCTACTTCCTGTTGTATGTTGTAATGAAATGAAATGTTGTATTTCTAATTACTACATAGTATATATAAAATATATGTACAACATTAAAAAAAAAGTCGAATAACGTTAATTAGTAAGAATTTTCAAACGGTAGCCTACATTTTAATTTGCAGATTCATAAATCCATCCGATGTTATGAAAAAATGGGAAAATATTGACAATCGTTTCAGAAAAACGTGACTTTTAATACGTGATGTTCGATTGCTTTTAATAATTTCTACTCTATCATTACAGATTGATTTCTTCATAACACACTAACATTATTGGATGATTTTTAAATACAATATATATGTAGAAATAGATAAATATAATATTACAATAGATATAAATATGTACATATATATAGTAAAAAGAGTTGGGCAAAAGGGCGAATTTGAATTAGAAAAAAGTGAATTCAATTTGCAAAACGGTAAATTTTATTTGTAAAAGTATGAATTTTACTTACAAAACAGTGTATTTAATTTTAAAAAAACTATATCAAAGGTCAACTTTTATTTGTTATAAAATCATTTCGTTAAAATGTTCAAAAAATCAGCGTTGATAGTTACTTAACGATGTTTTGTTCTTAACTGGTTGAATTAAAGAAAGACAAGGAATTTGAGTTTCAAATAAAAAAATCCCTCCTGGTGGCGAATTTAAATTGAAAAGAGTGAATTTAATTTGCAAAACGGTAAATTTAATTTGTAAAAGTGTGAATTTTATTTGCAAAACGGTAAATTTAATTTGTAAAAGTGTGAATTTTATTTGCAAAAAATTTTATTTAATTAAAAAACTATATCAAAGATCAACTTTTAACCATTGACCATTAACCATAAAATCATTTCGTTAAAATGTTCAAAAATCAGCGTTTATGACGATCTTTTGTTCTTAACTGGTTGAAGTAAAGAAAGAAAAGGAATTTGGGTTTCAAATAAAAGATTGGTGGCGAATTTAAATTGAAAGAGTGAATTCAATTTGCAAAAAGGTAAATTTAATGTGTGGTGTTTCGTGACCGTTAGTTAATGATTATTTGGATATCGTGAGATGCGGTCTGGTGTGACGTATTAGAAAAACATTTTCTATACCGTACCAACGTTTCGATCTTTATTGAGATCATCTTCAGGGCCTTAAAGGGGGGGGATTTATAAATATTGTTTGAATTTTACAAATACATATAGGATGTGGAAAAATATTAAGAATTTATACAATGCTTAAAAATTTTAGATTAAACAAACGAATTTGTACAATGTTAGACAATTTTAGATTCAATCAAAGTATTTTTACTCGGAAAACAAACACTGAGTGAGAAGAAATACTTTCATTAATCTAAAATTTTCTCGCATTGTACAAATTCATTTTTTTAAATCTAAAATTTTCTAGGAACAGTTACAGGACAATTTTTAGGTTAGTTCAAGAAGGTTTAATTTAGAGAATATTTTTACATAAGACGCTCAATTCGAAAATTCATTAAAAATTAACTGAACACCTCCTTTTTTAATACTTGTCAATAGTTAATAGCAAAACTATTAAAATAACATCTCATTAGCCAGTTGAACTAACCCAAAAATAATATGTTAATATTTTGTCATAAACATTTTTTACTATAGACAATTAGTACAAAAGCTAGTATTAATTTTTTTTAAATCTATCTAATTTAATCATCTTAGGCCTCCTAGAAAAAAATATTAACTAGATCAAATAACATCTTATTTTTTTAACTAACCTAAAAAAAAGTCTGGTAATTGTTAATGAATTTTTGAAATTTGAAGGGTTTGAAAAAATAAGGTGTATTTTAAATCTAGAGGATATTTTTCCCTAGGATGCCTAGGGAACCATTTCAAACATTCATAAAAAAATTAACCGAATCCTTCCTTTTTAGATGAAAAAATTGTCAAACCATTAAAATTATTTTAAGGAGGTTAATAAGCTGTACTTAGATATAGAGAATATTTTTGTAATGATACGGTTCAAAATTCATTAAAAATTAAAAGAATCCTTTCTTTTTTAATGTTTTTCAGTAGTGAAAACAATTTCTGTCAAAACATTAATATTAAATTTTTAAGCTGTTATTTGATCTAGCAAACATTTACAGCTAGGTGCCTAAGGCCATTTCATTGCGAAGGAACGAGGTAATTTACAAAAAAGTCATAAAAACAATATTATCTTAAATTGATAATAATGTTAGTATTAGTTTTCTTCATTAGGTACTTTTATTAAATTTATTTTTTAATTATTGTATTATCCTCCAGAGACGGAGTGATTTAAACATTTTTTTATCTACCTCTATGGGTTATTGTAAGTAATAAGAAAAAAATTTATTTACAAGAAAAATTGGACAAATAATTATATAAACCTTCAAAATTTGAAAATGTTTCTTCTTCAAATTCTAAAAAGAAATATGTAACATTTCATTTATTAAACAATTATTTTTTTTCAATTGTTCATCTTGAAAACATGTATGAACTTTTAAAGTAAAGCCACTGTTTCGGTTTTGTCTTAATATTAGCAATCTTTGATTCATTATTAGTGTTTAGTTACTGTATCTCATATTTTAGCTTTTTTTAATCAACTATGGTATGATTTTCCTATTTGAACCTATTTTCCACATCCTACATGTATTTGTTAAATTTAAACAATGTTTGTAAATCCCAGGCCCTGAAGATGATCTCAATAAAGATCGAAACGTTGGCACGATAAAGAAAATGTTTTTCTGAAACCTACATCACAGATGCGGTCCTCCGAATAATCATTTTCCTATTTGTTGATAAGATCTGTAACTTTAAAAAATGCTGTTTGTTACTTAAAAGTTTTTCCTTCAACCCTTTTCCCAAATCTTTGCAAAACTACACTTCTTAAAAGTTATTGACCTGCTGGCCAAAATATTTATATCGTTCTTATTTTTAGTCTAGACTGAATTATCCTTTTACTTCGTTATACTGAGAAAACAAAGGATTCCGAAGGACGGGAAATTTTTCAAACCGACTTACAAACCACCTTTCTAATTTAAGGTGGATAAATGATTTACGAGCGCGGCGAAGTTGTAAAGTAATAATTTCAAACGGATCGGATTTTTAGGTAGACCGAGGAGTGGGCGAAACTTCCAGTTAATTTTATGGTCGAAAAGCCAGGGGGTAATCCGTTTAGTAGACGCTTTCCGTGTCAACTCTCCTCGTCGGGACAGGTAAAAAAAGGGGTCTTAAATTTTAATCACCTGATAAACTATTATAATTGGGAATTCCCAGTGGAATCGGAAAAGTCTGGCTTGTTCCAAATTCGGTATTTCCATTCGGTCTGTCCCGTCGATTTTCGGGTCTGTTAGTCTGGTAGAAAAGTCTGCGGCTTTCTAAAGACAATGCACCCTGACACAACGCCGACGTGGGTGAGCCCGACTCTCGAAGACAAAGTTCCTGGAAGGTCATTGGAGCATAATGCTCCAGGTATTTCCAAAGATCCTCACTAGATAGATTGCGGAACAGTTGTGAGTTCCAGCGCGTACTACGTACTTATTGGAACTTATTAAAAAAAGGCTTGACTTCAATTACACGTTTCGATTAATCACTTACACCAAATAGTCAGAGGAAACTAAGATCTCAACATAAAATTTACGAAGCTGACAAATGTAAACTCTCACAATTTCTCTTACTACTTAAAATTAACTTACAAATAGACTCCTTTCATTAATAATCAACTAAGCTATTGTTTTATGTCAGGAGAATGCCACAAGAAAAAATTTATTGGTTCAATGGCGTCTAAAAGAGATATCGCCTGGTGGAAGTTAGAAGATGCCGTTGCAAAAATTAACTTTCAAAATTTACACTTGTCGATTATATTCTAAATTCTCCGTGACCATTTCATTTATCGCCGAGAATCAAATAGATTATACGACATTTGAAAAATGGCAAAAAGGAGGGAAAATTCAAAAGGTAAGGTTGAGATGGGAAATTAGTGTCCGAGTGGATCGAATTTACGATAGCTCAAGTGGTAGAGTAGCGGCGTGTCTAGCCGGAGGTCGTGGGTTCGAATCCCGCTCGTGCCAGTGACTTTTTTATCTCAACTAAAAACCTTAATTAATTGAAATATATTCTAAATGAAGGAAGAGATCATTTTGAAGATTTATTACAGATATTAATTTAACTAAAATTTTGGGAGATAGTCGACTTAGACGTCTCGATACTTGAGTTCCTCAAGCGAGACAATAATCTTAAAAAATTAATTAAGTTAAAATTAATTAAATTAAGAGGCCATGTATCCTGTTTATGAATAAGATTATTGCCTTCTTAACAATAATACTCCAAAAAACAAAAATTGACTTTCAGAATTTACACTTCAAATATATTCTAAATGATGGAAGAAGATAATTTTAAAGATTTATTACAGATATTAATTTAACTAAAATTTTGGGAGATAGTCGACTTAGTTAGACGTCTCGATACTTGAGTTCCTCAAGCGAGACAATAATCTTAAAAAATTAATTAAGTTAAAATTAATTAAAGTAAGAGGTCATGTATTCCGTCTATGAATCAGATTATTGCCTTCTTATCAAAATTACCTCAAAAAGCAAGAATAGTTTTATATTATTAAAGCCTAATAATCTTATTAGAGAAACATTAAATGTAAATTATTTTTACCAAGTTTGATATTATACATCAATAGAATAGTTTTTAATATTTTCATTATAACTTATAAAATTGATTAAAAAAATGGTTAACTTTTAAGATTATAACGAGCTATCAGTAATATTTTTTTCGATTTCGAAATTGAAAGTTAAAGAATTTGTAATCTATTTAGTTACTGTGGTTGAATAATTTAATTGATTCACTGGCGTCAAAAAGAAAAATGTAAAGTGCGAAGATGTTGCACAAACCGGTTTACAAAATTTGTATGTAAAAATAACCGGTTGATTAAAATTTGGGGAGATGATTATTTGGAGATCGTGAGATGTGGTCTGGTGTGACGTAGGTTTTAGTAAAACATTTTCTTTATCGTGCCAACGTTTCGATCTTTATTGAGATCATCTTCAGGGCTCAAAGTGTTTGTTTTCCGTGTAGATGTGTTATTCTTGTGTGTCCTGTTGACTTAGCTTTGTTAAACATTTGGTCTTTTTCAAGTGACAGAAATTGAAGAGGCCACGCTTCCAATAAAAATAAATAATTAAATAAAATTTAAAAAAAATCAGACGGTGCAATCCAAATATTTTTATTAACAAAATTACAAAATTAAGTGAAAATACAAACATACGAATATTCCAGTAATAGCCTAATAATTAATTGCGTTTAAAAAAAGTTCTAAAATTTGCCCTGTTTGACATTAGACATCAATGGACAAAGATTTTTTTCTATAACTTTAAAAAGTAGAAGTTTAAAAATACTCAGTTGCCTAAAAGTTTCTGAGCTATTCAACTTGGGCATGTTGAACGTCTCGATACTCGGGTGTGTCTAGTGACAGAAATTTAAGAATTTTGCGTTTTTTTCCCAAGATTTAATAACAAATAAAACTGTAAATGTAATATCAATATTTTTGTAGCGTTTAATAATGGTAAGTATTAAAAAAAAATGACCCGGTTTGACATCAAAGGTCAACACACTATTTTCTTCATGATTTGTACTTTAAAATATAGCAAAGTTCTTGAAACAAGAGAAAACTTTTAATATAACTGGATTTAGTAACGAGAAGAAAAAAAAATATATATAACATGAAAAATATATAAAATATATGTAATATATAAAAATATAAATACATAGTGTGATCTATTTGTACGCAATTAATAATAAAGAGCAATAACCAAATAATAATAATTTTACAAAATCAACTCCAAAACTATAATGAAGCAAAGAAGTGTAATTATTAATGAAGAAAAAATGGAAATTTGACATTTATTGGCATTCTTGAATGCCAATTAACAAACACAAAACATTATAAAATAAATATAAAGAATATAATAAGAAACGTCATTAGAATATTACATTTACAAAAATGTACTAAAAATTATAGTCAAATCAAGTAGAGAAGTAGTTAAAAACTAATAAAATAACTGAATTTACTAACGATTTGCAAAATAAAGTATAATGCATTGCAAGTCTACATGCTGTATAAAACCATGCACATTATGTACTTACTAATGACGAGGAAAGTAAAAATATAACCTATAAGTGCTGTTTGCTCGAAACATACAACGAAAATAAAAGTATAATAAACACAGAAAATAAGAGAAACATAATTGGAATAGTCAATTTATAAAATCTACTAAAAAAACTAAAATCGAATCAAACTGCGAGTTATAAAAGAAGAAAAAAAATGAAATACAACGTATTGTAATTTTACAATACCGTTAATAACACAGGTAAGGGATAATTTTAAATACCTAAAAAGGCTTAATCAAATCAAATGGTTCATTGCTGTGAGAGAAGAGAAAGACGTAAACATAATATGTAACTACATGAAAGCTAACTAACAAAAATATAAAGCGTAATGAACTGAGAATATGAGGATACAGAAATAGATTAAGAAAAGAAGAGAAAAATGGAAATATCTAAGCAATACAATTTACAATTATCATTACATTAACATAGGCCAAATAGTTCAAACATATTCATATTTGTAGAGCCAGAGGCACTTTGGGGATGGACAATAAAGGATGAAAAAAAGTAGACCAATAAGAAATCTATAAAAATTTTAAGAAAAGAAAATCAAAATCTTCTCAAAACTAAAAACAAATGAACGAATGTTGTTTCTAGTGAAGAAAAAAATAAAACATGCGAACACGGTCTATTCGGAAGCGAATTGACAAAAATATGAAGCCTATTAAACACAGGAAAAACAGTCGAACATAATTAATAAAATAATTAAAGTAAAAAGTCTCCTCATAAGCTCAAATCAAATTAAGTTGTGGTATTATTGAAAGTGTTGTTACTAACGAAGAGAAAAATTGAAATATTACTTCAACTTATAAGCACTTCAATGACCAACGTTACAAAAAAGGCAAAATAATCCAAAAATAATAATTTGATAGAAATCTTGGTTAGAATATAGTAATTTTAACAGGTTCATTTGAATGAGGGAAGTACGTCCAGGAGGACGAATATAGTAAATAGTACATTTAAGAGTAAAAAATAACGACGAAAAAGTAGATCTATAATAAATTTAGAAAAACGTCGCAAAAACAACAATAAACAGAGAGGTACAACGGTAGAATAATCAAATTATTTCAAATAACTAAATCAAATCAATTAATGTTGTTACGTATGAGGAAAAAATAAAACTTAAATGCTAATAACTAAATGCAGTCTTCTCGAAAGCGAATTACCAAAAATAAAAAGCTCAATAAACAAAGAAAAGTTAGTAGAATAAATACATTTACAAAAATCAATTCCAAAACTGAAGTCAAATCAAGCAGACAATATCATAAAACAAGCAAAAATATTAAATATAATTTATTATATTATATTGTAAATTTTTTAACTAAGTGAAAAATATAATGTGTGAGTGTAGTCTACATCGAATAGAATTAACAAAACTAAAGGGCATAACGAACAGAAAATATAAGGATGAACAGTGGAATAGTAGAAAAGAAAAAATTTAAAACAGGCTCTTATAGACAGAAAAAAATTAAAATATTCCGCATAAGTGATGTCTATTAGGAAGCGAATAACCCAAAATACAAGGCACAATAAACAAGATAATATAAAGTATAAGAAACAAAGGAAATAGAAACATCAGTAGAATAATACAATTCCAAACTATTTTCAAAAACGAAAGTCAATTCTACCATAGAAATACTTAAAGCTAGAGAAAATTAATAAATAAAATGTCAATAGAATAATAAATGTACAAAATCACTTCAAAAGTTCAAATAAAATTAACTTTGTGCTACTAACAAAGAGAAATAATAAAATATTGAAGTATGCATGATAAGCACTGTAATTTCAAAATCGTTAGAAAATTTAACGACACTTTATTCAAAAAATATTAATTCGATAGAAATTTTGTTTATTTTATAATGAAAACAGGATATAGGAGAAGTACAACTAAACAATGATTTCAATAAACAAATGGCCTAAAAAGAAACTCCAAACAAACAATGAAATTATTTATGAAGAGAAAACATCAAATACAACAGATAAGTTCAATATATTTGGAAATTTGTTAACAATAATAAAAAGCTTACTAAACATATGATATAGGAAAATCAAGTTTTTCACACAACATTAATTGACAAAATATTCTCAAAAAAGTAAGTCAAATCAAGGGAAGGAGTCCATAAAAAATATGAAACCTTAAATATAACTAAAGTTAATAACAGAGAAAAAAATACGTGTGTGTAATTTGGTTGCGAATTAATAAATAAATAGTTTCTTTATCAGATAATGTTACATTTTACATACATAATTTTACAAAATCATCTGGAAAAATAAAATAAAGTCAATTAGTGGAGTTACTAGAGTGTAAGCGCATTATAGCCGGAAACAAAATTGACAAAAAAAGTAAGCATAATACATGCAATAAACAGAAAATAAGAGAAAGATCAGTGGAATAATAAATATACAAAAGAGCCTTAAAATTTTAAATCAAATGAAGCACCAAGGTTACTAATAACGACAACAATAAAAATAAAACATATAAACACTGCAATTTACAACATAGTTTCAAAGTGAATACCAATTGATTTGATAAGAATATTTTTTCCAATTATTTTATTTGAAGGAAAGGTTCCAGCATACAAGGCTTCGTAATTTTGGGAGTAAAAACTAAATATTCGTTTTAAAATTCAGTTGATAGTTTTGGTTACTATTATGACTTTTTGTTTTATTTTGTTAATTTTTTTATAATGAAAACAGGATATAGGAGAAATACAAGTAAACAATGATTTCAGTAAAAAAATGGCCGTGTTCCTTAAATCGATATATAATTAAGTTATTTTTTGTCATATTTGGATTGTTTCGGAATTTTTGGCCTGTAGGCATATTCTTGTTTTATAATAAACATTAACCATTAACCAACAAATTTTTTTAATTCGGAAATTCACCAGTTTATAGTTTTATTTATTTATTTATGTTGACAATAATAAAAATTGTGGGAATTCCATCAAATTGTAAGAAAAAAATTGTCTACCTATTGTGGGGGCTGGAAGGATTTGCACCACTGGGATTTAATTTACTCTGGGATTTCCCGTGGTATTTCCTCAAGTGATAATCCCCAGAGCGATGTCAAACATTCAATTACGATTTACAATAAGTAAAACGGAGATTGAGATTAAGAGGGATATAGAGGGTGGGAGGGAGAGAGGGAGCTCGGAAGGGTGGGGTTTCTGTCGGCCCGTTTGAAGTCCCTCTTGTTTGCACTTGGGCCCGCAGTGGGGGTGGCTATATAAGGGTCGAGGGTGTATTGGGACTTCATTCAGTCATGGATTTCCAACGTGCTCTACTAGCAGTCTGCTTCATTGGCCTCGCAGGAGCTGAAAACGTCTTCCAGACGTGGGCAGACTCGGCGTTCAAGTTGGTCAACGACGACTGCCAGAATTGCGATCTCAAGAAGTCCGATTTCTATGTCTATGCCGTCTCGCCTACTACTACTTCTGGTAAGAAACTTTTACTTCAGCCTCATCTTTATAACAAAAATTTCACGCACAAAGTTCCTCAAGGACCTGGTCTTTTTAACACATCCTTTTCGTTTCAATTTTTATCTTCAGTTTCTAGCAAATCATATTAAAATTTAATATATTGGACTAACTGTAGAATAACCCCATGGAACTTTATTCTTAAATGTAGTTTAATAGAAATTAGCATAGTAAATTTTTCATTTATACACTGCTACTTGTATTATTTTCAATCTACAACACTCAATCAAGCAGAATTATTTGTTCTTTATATATAAAACAATTTGATTTTAGATATAAAATATTGTCAAATAAAACAACTATTGTTTAATTAAAAAATAAGCGAGACGTGACTTTTGTTATTTTTTTAAATTTTATTTGTAGATATACATTTCAGTCGTTTTCTTCTTCATTCAACAAGTAAAATTTAAAAATAAAACAACAGAAATGCAATTTTTTAAAGTAAATAATAAAAATTATATGGTAAACAAGCATAAAAAGCCCAGCTCAGTTTTGAATGTTCAAATTAGTCAAATTTGAAGTTTTCTGCTCGATGCATATTTCCAAAAATTACTAGGTGAAAACAAATAGATAAAGAGAAAATTAAATTATAATTTTGTCCTTAAAAAAAAGTAAAATATTTTTAAAACTAAAAACATTCAGAACTTCTTCAGGTTCTTGGTCCAACTTTCTAGTTTAATTGAATAATTTAAATTTAAAAATTGTAAAAGCATTTTTGCAACATTTTTAAAAACTTTATATTTTAAGTGTTAAATAGGTTTAGAATGATCGGGTTATTAAATTGGGAAGTTTTTTGATAGTCTTTCATATTTCCACAAATTACCAGACCAAACCAAATTGGGCAAAGTGATAAACTTTAACATATGTCCTTTGGAAAATTGTTCATTTTAGATTTTTTTGTCTTGACACCAAGTTTTAGAGGTTTTGGCAAAACCACATTTTGTACGTTAGTGAATAGTTTGAAATAATTGTATTTTATTTTGCTTTTGGTTGAGGTGACAACTTTTAAATTGGACAGAGCAGATTTCAAGATTCCTCATTTAATTTAGCGTGTAAAGACTAAGATATTTCCAAAAATTGTTTCAGATTAATCAATAAGCATAAACAATAACTGTAATTGATTTTTTCGTGTTATTCAATATTTTTTGTCCCTGATCATAGTCGAGTCAGTTCATAGTTCATAAACAGCGAGAATTTACGGACCTGGGTTGTGAAACTAAACCGCGGACAGTTAACAATTTCTATCGGGTCCACTCAATTGTAAAATGACATTCGGGGGAGAAAAACCCTGTAAAGGGGAGATATCCACTAACGGATTTTCTTGCCTCGGGACACGAGAATACAGTGACTCCTTTCAATAACACAAGTCCTGGGAAGGATTACTGTTGGAACAATGGATGAATGACGGCAGTACTTTGTTGTCCAGTGCCTTTTCATACTTTTCGGAAAGATCCGGCGTTCACCCTTCCTTTCTTAAGAAGCTTTTTCCCCATTTGTGTTCCTTCTATTAAATATCCCTTGTGATTTTCTAATCTTGCCATCTTAAAACAACTCTTGAAATTGTCCTGGGATGTTATTCGAGATCGATGTATTTTTATTTTTCGTAAAGCTTAAAATAAATTTTTATTTTTCGTAAAGCTTAAAATAAAAGCCATTGGTTTTTTAATGCAAATTTGTCTGTCGATGTGAACATATAAACTGTACTTGTTTATATAAGAAAATCTTATGGAAAAACTTGGTATAACAATAAATTTTTTTAATGAATTTTAGCTCAATTTAGTATTTTTGTAAGTTCAAATTGTACATTTTTACATTCTTCTTATATTTATCTATACTTCAAGTTGCATTTTTCTGATTCACAATTATTTTCTTCTATTAGATTTTAAACTTTGTTTAAAAAATAATATTTTACGACAAAATTCGTTCAAATTAAAGTTAAAAATGCGTAACATCCTTTCAAGCCACATTCTGCCTAGTGCTTGCCAGTTTATTGATTTTGGTTTTGGCCTATTCATCATTTATTTTCAACCTTTTCCTGTAGAAATTCCGTTGATTAAACTATTGATTTTTGCAGTTGTAATTAATAAATCTAGCTCGTTCAATAAACAAAAGAACTGCGAGACTTAACTAGCTTAGATCGAATCCTCTGCTCGTTTTCAATTTTCTATAAATCGACGCCGAATTTAAAACGTGATGCTGAAAATTAAACAATTAACTTTTTTTCATTAAAGTTTTATTAGGTTTGGGTAAAATTTAGCCGGTTTTATTTTAGTTATTGCAATATCTGAAAATGAGGAATTTGTATCAAGGAGTTTAAAAGCGTAGGTCTTCTTATTCAAATAAACTTGGTTTTACCCTTGATTTTTTTACATTTACATTGAATATGTATTCATTAATTTATGATCTTGTTTACAGTAAAATACAAAACGTTTGTCGCTGACGGCAGCGGGAGGAGGACCGGTAAGCACGACGCTGTTCTCGTTTTAGACCCTGCACCAGCGAAGAGATTCGGCCACGAGCTCTACATGTTTTTCATCGATGGCAACCACACAGCAGAGACCTGCGGGAACACACGTGGAACTGTTTTATTGGGTGAGTTTTTTTAAGTCCTGCTTTATATTTAAGTGTAACTAGGGGAAGTTGTTTGAAGTTCGCTCAGTGTCTTGTCAAAAGTTTTGCCTTAAAATTCCAGATTTGTTGTCCGATTTTCTTTTTGTGAATAAAGCCCGTCCCTTAATTTATGTTTGAGGCGTTAAAAATGATATTTTCAATGGTTTTTTAACGGATGGGTCCGAGTCGGCCTACTTTCCAACTTGGACGCCGTAAAATATCTCTGACCCCCCCATCACGCCGATATTACGGCGCTTCCGAACCGCTTTTTCGACAAAAATCTTTTCAAAAACCACAAAGTTAATTGCAAGAGCCGCGGGGCCCCTTCCAGGAATGGGATATTGATTTCAGCCTTCTAGGAAACACGAAGAACATCCTCCACAGACGCCACGGTCTCCGAGCAATTATAGAAATTCGGAGGGAAGGTGCGACAGAAAACGGCGTGATTAGGGGGAAAACGTTTTTGAGAAACCGGGCTCCGATTTTCGACGCATGGCCATACACAATAATAGCTTTTTGAGTTCGCCTCTGTGGCGAGGAAGGTCATTTTTTTCAATTGAATTGGTTCCAAAACAAAAAGATAGAATCGGTCTTTGGCCACTTGGTGACCTCTGCGCATTGATGAACCTGTAGTTTGGTCATTTACGATCATCCTGATCAGTACATCCTCGCTGATTTAATACAGTCAGAAGTGATATTTTACCACCTTCACTTATGGAACATACATACATTCTTCTGTCTATTTGGTTATCTATACGAAATTCATGTTACAAAACCTAATTTTGTTTTTAGGAGTCCAATTTTTAAATTCAAAATTTCCTCTGGAATAATCAGATTCCATGATTTACCTTAAAACACTATGCATCATAATCAAACTACTTTTCAGTATCTGTTCTATATTTTTTTTACAAAACATTTCTAAATTTTATAAAAACTGTAAGATTTATACGATTCGCCACTGTTACATTTACAAAAATACATATGGGGAATGCGATAGGTTAGGGCGTCCGACTCGTAATTGCCAAGCTATTCTGTGTTCGAATCTCGGTGTAGTTCATGGAATTTTAATTGATAATAATTTAAAAACGGCTCTTCCGCGATAATAAACGGGTGTTGAACGTTGTGCACTTATGTGTGACAGGACTCACTTGTTTGACTTAAACGAACAGAAGTTCGTCGGTGAACAAGAAGTCTGCTTAGAACAGAAGCCCAAGTTCGAGTACGCATGTCAATATTGATCATTACTGTACATAAACTGGTGCAACATATTTCATTTTTTCTCAATGAACAATAAGAAATTCTGCATAAGAAACTAATATCAAAGGAAATTCTGACATGTCCTGGCAAGAAATCTCACTTTTAACTAATTTACTTGTATATATATTTGAAATTCTTTTCTCCTTTTTTTTTCAATTTTTCAACAATCATGAATTAATTTTCACCATGCTTAAAATCTTGCCCCTTAGCAGATTTTGAAATGAAGTACGCTTTTTGCAGAATTAAAATTACGAATTCCACCATAAAAAGTAGCATACATTTTCGAATTTCAAACCATTTATATTCAACTAGGTAGCCTTTTCTCCATGATAATTCCCAATAGTATTGCATTTTAAAGCAATTTACTTTAAACTTTAGAACAAGTTTTTCTCATAAAATTTCTTTCCAATTCTTTTTTAATAAATAAAGTAATAGTTTTATATTTGACTTGAACTTGAGGCTTGATATTTGACTTTTTTTTAACAATGCATTATTAAATGAATATTTGGAAAAGTAATATTTAGAAATTATGATTGGAAATTGATCATAACGTTTGAAAGTCTAAAACAGGCCAAAAAGTTAAAAAATCTGCGGGTTTTATGATTTTGCCTGGTTATCCATGTTAGTATATATTCTCGGTTTTTTAACATGTAAATTATAATGTATCAGTAAACAGTGTAAATTGGAAATTTATGATTCTAACTCTGATCATAGGGTTTAACAGTCTAAAATAGTCCACGTTAAAAAAAAGGTTTCAAGGTTTGCCTGACTGTATAGGTCAACTTCCAAAAAAGTTCCGGTTTTGTTCATGAAAACAATATTGTGCATTGGACAATCACGAACGAAACATGATCGTGAGGTTTGAAAGTATAAATTGAAAGTCTAAAACATTTCAACGTGAAAAATTCTTAGTTTTCAAGGCGTGATTTAAATGTTAATGTCCAAACTTATGGTGTTCGTATAAATCATAAGATCATAGTTAACAACGGTTTTCATTGGAACGGTTTGTAACTGAAATCATAGGATTTAAAAGCGAAAATAGGCAGACCGAAGTGATTGTAAACGACCGGACTAAAGGTTCAATACCCCGAAGAGGAAAATCAAAATTTCAAACTATGTTGAATGTTTAACAATTTTATATTTTAAATAGCATATTTTACGAGAAAAAATTAAACATGGTTGTTGTAGGCTTTTTTGTATATTTTAAGCTGTCAAAAGGGAGTTTATTGTTGTTGTGTTCAGTAGATGTTGAAACTTTTGGATTGCACCAAAGCCAATTTTATGGTTTATGGGCATTGTCTTCTATATTGTATATCGTTAGATATGTATCCTTTTTATGAATGGATTTAGTTTTTCCTCCAATTCCTACCCTTCGTCTATTTTTCTCTCCTCGGGAGTAACGGCCGAAAAAGAGGGGAAAAAAAGTAGGCAGGCATATGATTAGATTTCTTTCAGGGGACACTTCTGGAGAGGGTCCTTGTTTTACTACTGGATGGGCGGTGCCTTACAACTACAAAGGGCTCAAGGAGCCTTCCACGGATAATAGACTAATAAAGAGTTTTTGGTAGGGGAGACGCCACGAGCCAAAAAGTCTTTGATCTCGCCGCTGGCATGCCCTCCATTTAAACGCCAGTCGGGAAAAAAAGCCCCCCTGGCTCAACATTTCTTCAATATTTGTACAAATCCATCTGCGACCGTGTGGGGAGAATGAGGGGAATTTCTCGCACGCCGAGTCGGCTGTTAGTTCCGCATGGTGCTTTATAAAAAAAAAAAATAAAGTATCCTGATGCGTGTTGTTTTGAACTGCGAAATTTCTGACATGCTTGGTTCGTCTTCTATTTTTATATCAGTTTCTTAAGATTTCCGACAAAGCAGAAAATGTCAACAGGTGTTTGTCATCTTTTTACATGGATTATTAATTTTTCAATCTTAACATTCAGATCTTATAGAAATGTTGAAGGTGGGGGTGGGCATGTAGATTCATTTTGTGTACATTTATACTCACAGAATTGTTGTTTACATATCCGGATTAATAGCATTAAACGCTCATCATCAGGAGTTACATACACCTCTCTTGACGCGAATTGTAAATGTGAACCCGCCAACCATTCCATTGAAAAGCTGGTTTTTAATGCCGTTCAATGTGAGGAATTGGAGGAAACAGATTAACGAAAAAATTCTCATATATTTGATAAGAGACACTTGGAGATCTGAAATTGGCAAAACTGGTTTGTCGTTTGTCAGTAATATTTTACCACTGTTATAAGGTTTTGAACCAAAAATCCAGTAATTATCAACCATTTTCTTCTTTGCGAAAACTAGGATTACGTGAGGGATTGTTGTTTTGTTCCATCAGGCCAATTTTTTCCCATCGTGTTGGGTCTGATCAAAATGATGTAGGAAATCGACTCCTGTTAAATTTTACATTTATGTACAAAAATAAAAATATTTGCAGTAAAAATCTTGACAGGAAACGCTTTAAGACATAAAATTGGCCAAGCTACTTTATCCTTTGGTTGGAAATATTTTATCATTATTTTTTCATAAGGCTTTGAAACAAAAATCCAATAATTGTCCACCATTTATTCCATGTTTAAAGGATTGATCTCCAGGATATAACTGGAGGAAATCTTTGTCTTCTGGTAAATTTTAGTTTTGTTTACAAAAACAAAAATATTTGTGGTCAAAGATGATACAGACCCCGTCTTTCATGGATTGTTCTAATGGAATTTTTTTTTCTTCTTTGCTCTTATACGAGAAAATGGAGGAAATCGACTTCTGTTAAATTTTAGATTTGTTTTCTAGATGAAAACTATTTGTTGCTAAAAACTGACAGACAGTTTGGGGCTTGATATTGGGGCTTGGCCAAGCTGCTTTGTCCTTCGGTTGGAAATATTTTTTCATTGTCTTTTTATAAGGTTTTCAAATAAAAATACAATAATTGTCCACAATCTTTCAAGGATTGATTTACAGAAAGAATTTTTCTTCTTTGATAAAACTAGGGTCCTATGTAACTGTGGAGGGACTCTTTGTTTTCTGGTAAATTTTAGATTTGATTACAAAAAGACAAATATGTGTGATGAATGCTGACAGGAAAAGATTGATCTACTGGAAGATTTTTTTTTCTTTGCGAAAACTAGTGTCATGTGAGGAATTGTTTTTGTCTGTCAGGCCGATTTCTCTCCATCGTTTTGGGTCTGATCAAAATTATGTAGGAAATTGACCTCTGTTAAATTTTCGATTTGTTTACAAAATGACAAATATTTGTGACCAAAAATTAACAGAAGACGATTTGGGGCCTAAAACTGGCAAAGCAGCTTTGTCCTTTGGATGATTTATTATTGGTAATTGTTTTATGAGATTTTTGACCAAAACTTCCAAAATTATAAAATGGATCTACATGTTTTTTCCGGGGGAGCGACTTACGAAATTCTTGGCGGTTGCTTTACTAAGGTCTGTTTTTTTATTTTTATTTTAAAAAGAAGTGAATTGTAAAAATATGTAAAATGAAGATGTCTGCGCCGTGTGGGACGGCCGTAAAACTTAAGTAAGAAGTTATTGGCTAGGTAGTGAGGAAGGGTAAGCTACCGTAGGGTCCTCGGAGATCAAAGGGGCCCGGCATCATCCACTCAATTAATAAACGTGTTATCCAAGGCGTAGAAGGCGGCGCGTTTGAAGAGTCGGCGAGATCAAAGGCCCGGCTCCAGGCTCAAAGGGGCCCCTGATGGCAGATTAAAAACAAATCAGTGGGGCCTTTTGAGTGACACGGAAAACCATTGTCGGTCCGGACTGTGAAAACGCCCGTGGAAATGGATTTTGAGCGGTGGGTGAATGCCGAGTGGGAATGGTAGAAAATGAGATGGGAACGGTTGTACTTTCAGACCTGGGGGCTTTATACTTATCGACTCGGCTCAAATCTCCACCGATCTTTTCGGTTTTAATCATACTTGAAAACAGTTTAGGGTGTTTAATCTCTCCCTTTAAACTTACCTCTTTCTACCGTTTTTGGCTCAACTTACTTTCGAACGGCTTTCTTTGCCTGTTTGTAAACTCTTTTATGACTAAGAAGAAGGTGCCCCCCCAACAACCGCAATTATCTCTTCTAGGTGTTAAAATCCCACTTATAAATCGAAAAGTTATTGAAAATAATTATTTTAGCCCTAAGCTTTCATTGCTTATTTATAAATCACAATTTATATACACAGAAGGTTAATTTAACCTGCAAGAAATTTTTCATACTTACCTAATTTTTATAACCATATTTTTTATTTGTATTACTCATTACCCTTTCATAAATATTAATTTGTTATTTTTACATAGTTCAATTCCACAATTAACATGGACATATTGAAAATTGAGAAGAATAAAATTTAAAAATTAAATATTACATTTGATAAATATTTATTTATCACCCATAAAATGTAAAATATTCTTTGCCAAGGAACGCTTGGCATTTGCTCGTTAAAGGATTACAATTTCACACTTTTTCTCACTTTTCAATCAAATCATGAAAATTTATTTTTGTTGTTTCTCTTTTTATTTATATTAAAATTCCCAATCAAAGACTTGATACATGCTTGACAAAGTAACATGGTAACAGAACATCAGCAATGATAGGGCTGACCGGAAGGCAATTCAGAAAAATTGAAAATACTTTCCTGTTTGTTATATTATTTGTCCATTAGATTTTTGTAATTATTTAAATTTTTGCTAAAACCCTAAACAATATGTTGTTAAATAACCTTGTGTTAGTCTTTTATTTCATTTTTTCAATTTATTTTTTGTTAAGCAAACAATAAATATGCGTATTGTCCTATCAAAATATGTTTCCATAAACTTTCTAATTTTACTTTATTTATAAAAAATATTTTATGAAAATTAATTCTATCATTTGTGTACGCAGAAGATGGCCAGTGCTTGCAGCAATGGGTGAGGGAGATGTGCCACAGGAGGGCCCCGAAACGAAGAGGCGGATGCAAACTTCTATTCCTTCCAGAAGTCAGATTAGAGAATTCGCAAAACGACAGTCTCGTGTGCATTCCAGACCTTGAGGGTTTCAACGGCGAGTGCCCGACGATGATCAAACACCGCATATCCAGTGGCTGCGACCCTCTAGAGACCAACAGCAAATTCTGCGATACGACCAATTATATCAAGACCGAATGCGCTTTCATGCAGACTTGCGATCATGTAAATATCCTTTAAATATTCCTTTTTCATGTTAAGTCAAAAGTTTAAGCATTGCTGAAAGAGAATTTTTTTTTCATAGGCGGTGCTCATTTCTGGCGGGTGGAACAGAAAAATGAGTGATGAACGGAGTATTAAGAACCTAAGAACAATCAACACTTTACTTCTTAGAAGTGGATTCAATCAGAACAATTTGAGAATATTTTTTGCCAATGGACTTGACTCCTCATATGGTAAGTTAATATGCAAATTTTAGTTATAACAATTCATTTTTAAAATTAACTTACAGTTTCTTAATTAAAAAAAGTAAAATTAAAGAACATTTTTTAAAAATTATGGTATTTTACAGAAGAATATGAAGATTTGGGTGATGTTTATCCTTCAAGTATTAAACTGGCTATAAGATACCACATAAGAACTTTATGCGAGACGAAAAGGTGTGCAGATTCTATAGTTATCTACCTCAATAGTCCTTCTTTGCCTGATGGTTCTTTGTTACTCTGGGATTCAAATAATGATGGAGTTGTAAGTGCCATTTCTTTATTTTAAAAACCGTCTAAAATCGTAACAACTTATGATATTGATATTTGTTTTGATTTTAGCACGATGAAGGAGAGATCTATTCGATCAGGGATTTTTTCCGGGACATCGTGAAATGCTCAGCGACAAGACTCATCATCCTCGTCGACCAGAGCTATGGCGGTGAAATGGTCAGGGCTGCACACAGACATTCAAACGATATGCAAAATGTCATCATTATTGGAGTGAAAGTGAACGATTCGAGGGATTCTATGATCAACTCGCTGTCGAACATGACAGCGTCAACCTGCCTAAGCGATATTTACGACTCGGTTGAAGATGTCAAATACAAAGGAACGGCTCAAGGACTTCTCAACGGAACAATCTACGGTGCGCCTTGTACAAATGAACAAGATTACCAAAAATACTTTGGCTGTCAAAACCTTTCAACCCTTGAGCTAATTGAATCAGAAGAAACCCTCGATGCAGATGAACAAAGATAACACATTTAATGCCATCACAAATAAGATTCTTTGAACTTTACATATTTAAAATGATGTAAATATATTGTTTGTATATAATTTATGTTGCACATAAATTCAAAACGGGTGTAAATAATGGGTAAAATTGTGGAAAAAGGACTGGTTTTTTTGTTGTACATATATACAAAACATACTCATATGTCAATTGATTTGACCTTTTTGAATACATTAACACATATTAGTATGTAAATATTTATTAAATGATTGTACATTTGCACAATAAATGAACTATTGATATAAATAATTGCGTTTTTGTATGTTTGATTATTTACATGTCTTCATTTGATTTTCTCAAATTTCTTCTTCTTCTCCTTCATCTATAGAATCGACACCAACTTCTTCATAATCTTTTTCAAGGGCTGCAAGATTTTCACGGGCCTCAGAAAATTCGCCCTCTTCCATGCCCTCGCCAACGAACCTAAAAACACCAACATGTTTACAAAAGTAACAAATATATTTCAAATAACTACAAAAGCCTTGACTTACCAGTGTACAAAAGCCCGTTTAGCATACATAAGGTCGAATTTGTGATCTATCCTAGCCCACGCTTCTGCGATTGCGGTTGTATTGGCCAGCATACAGCATGCCCTTCGAACTTTAGCAAAATCTCCACCTGGGACGGTAGCCGGAGGTTGGCCGCTTATTCCAACCTGCGATAATACAAATTTATACAAAGCTGAACCAAGAATTAAACAAAAATTCGCATTACTTTGAATCCAGTTGGACACCAGTCAACAAACTGTATGGCCCTCCTGGATTTAATCGAAGTTATAGCGGTGCTAACGTCTTTCGGTACAACATCACCCCTGAAATATTTCATGAGATTATAAACAATATTATAAAAAAAAAGACTTTTATAATAAACCTGTAGAGAATACAGCAAGCCATGTATTTTCCTCTTTGTGGATCGCATTTGACAAGTTGATTTGCTGGTTCGAAGCAAGAATTGGTGATTTCAGATACGCATAGCTGCTCGTGTTGCGCCTTCTCTGATGATATAATCGGAGCATAGTTTATCAAGGGGAAATGTATCCTTGGAAAGGGTACAAGGTTCGTCTGTAAATTGAATTAAGCCATTTTTCAAAAGATTCTACAAAAAAAAGAAAAATAGATCAAACCTGGAACTCAGTTAAATCAACATTGAGAGATCCTTCAAATCTAAGGGATGAAGTAATGGAAGAAATTACTTGGCTTAAGAGCCTGTTCAAATTGGAGTATGTTGGTCGTTCTATGTCCAAATTACGATTGCATAGCTCATAAATGGCCTCATTGTCTACCATAAACATGCAATCCACATTTTCCATTGTGGCATGCGTCGCAAAAACTGAATTATAAGGTTCAACGACAGAAGTTGAAATCTACAAATAATGAATATTAAAATAATTTTTATAATCGCAATATTTTAAAAACAAATTGAATTTTTTTCCACGATTAACAGTTTAAAGTGTGGGTTAATTGAATGGGACTAGCTGGACGATAAAATCACTTTCAAAATTAAAACAAATTATTTCTGTGATAATAATTATAGAAATTGTAGTTTGGTCCTGTTATTTTGGAATGCCTATCCTAGTTGTTTTGGCCTGAGTAGGACGATTTGTTTGTGTAAAGAAAATATTTGTTGTCAAATATTTGACAGGAGACTTTGACACCTGAAATAAATTTTACCATTATTGTCTACAAGGTTTTGAACTAGAATTCCTATAATTGTCAACTATGTTCTTCTTTGCTAAAACTAAGATTATGTGAGAAATTGGTGTTTTGGTCTGTCAGACAGATGCAGTTCTCGCCTCTTCGGTGTTGGATCTGATCAGAAATGGCCAAACTTTATGTACATCACGTGCAAACAAAAAAAGGAAATCTTACAATTATAGAAATGTATAAATTTATCAAGTCAATTATAGAATTCTTTTTTAGTTTTAGAATTTTGAAATTTTGTCGTTCTTCTTGACCAATTTTGAACCCGATTGATACTTGCCCAAAACCTCCATTCCCTAACTCGCAACTTGCCCCACGACCGGTACGTGAATGGACAAATCATTGTATTCTGTATAAATGTAATAAATAAATCAAAAATTTTAAAATCTAGCACAGGTTAAATTCTTAAATTTTGAAAATTCTTTTAATTTTGACAAAACTTCAGATTCTGTACAGGTTAAATTATCAAATTTTGTACCTTCATTGTTTATTAAACTAATTTTGTTTTCAATAGGTATATTCTTTTACCAATGAATGATTCATGATATTTCTTGTTTGATAATAGTTATATAAAGTGGGTGGTAAATGTTGGTCTGTGAGTGGGTGAAAACAGATTGAATTGGCACTGGGTACATCTACACTAGTGGTTTTGATGTTCCTCGGATACATTTTGGCTTTGGGTCATCTTCAGTGAGTTCTTCAATCATCCTAAGTGACCCAGTGCCAATTATATAAAGGCATAGTTATAACAAATCAACTTCAGAAATCGTAATGAAAATAAATAGGAAGGTCATAACCTAGTTCAATTCTAAATTTTTAACAATTTTGTATTGTGTGTTATTTTTTGTCTGTGTTACTTTTACTAATGGAAAAACAATCGTACTCATACTGCAACTTACTCGTGGCGAAGGGTATATTGTACAAGCTAGTTTACTCTTCTTTCCGAACTCCAATGACAATCTTTCTGTTAATAAAGACATGAATCCACTACCCGTTCCTCCTCCAAAAGAATGGAATACAAGAAACCCCTGCAGGCAGGCACATCCTTCAGCAAGCTTTCTCATATAATTCATCAGTTGGTCTATTATTTCCTTCCCAGTCGTGTTGTACCCCCTTGCAAAATTATTCGCAGCGTCTTCTTTACCAGTTATTAACTGCTCGGGGTGAAACAGATCCTTATACGCTCCGACTTTTATTTCATCTAAAAAACAGGATTAGAAATAGACATCTTATCTATTGATAGAAATGATTTGAGGTGGGGTGAGTATGCCAATTCACTTTTTCAAAAAAGTAAAAAAATCTTATAAGCTATGGTGTTTTATATATACCTATTACTGAAGGCTCTAAGTCGACTAAAATTGCCCTTGGAACATATTTTTCTTCATTGATGTTGATGAAAAAACTGCTGAAACTGTCGGAGATGGTGTTGCCATCAGGGATTTTACTACCGTCGGGTTGTAATCCGTGTTCCAGGCAGTATAGTTCCCAGCATGCGTTACCGACCTGGACACCAGCTTGTCCGACATGGATTGATACAACTTCCCTCTGTGTGCGAGCACCATAACATTAAAATATTATTTAAATAATAACACAGCATTCCTTACCATTTGTAATAATCGATTCAAACTTTGGCGCGTAGAAAGCAATAGTAATCTTTACTCAATTTTATATTTTGAACCACAATGTTGGATTACCATGTGTTTCATTTTTATAAATTGTGAGTTAAAAAAAAATAAATAAAAATAAAAATAAAAACCTTAAATTATTTTTTAAGGTTTTTCTATTTTAACCTAAATACTTAATTAAAGATCATCTTTTAAAAAATATGCTACTAAATTGTTTCAATTACATCTTTATGTACAACATTATTTATTCTCTTTGTTTCCGTATATTCTCAGTACATTCCTTCAATTATTACAACCCAATAAATAAAAAATGCTTATCCAGAAAAATTCATTTAGATTACGAAATGGTGATGTTGAAATCAACTGTGTAAACCGGTTATATATTAATTTAAATTCATACTGGTTGAAAACAACTATATAAACAGGCTATACATTATTAATTTAAATTCTTACTGAAAAAATCTTTTTCTTTTCATATTTACACATGGAGCAGACAATAAACTTGCCTTATTGTAATATAAATTTGATAATTAACTGCTAAATTGCTCAGTAATGGGATTGTTTGAAAAGACATATCTGACTAGGTTTGTTTAAGAAATTATTTATTTACAAAACAATATAACATGATATATTTGTCACACGATTCCTTCACATGGTAGATAACATGTTTTCGATTATAAATGTACAAAATAGCATTAATATGATTTTCTTGTTATGTAATAATGTGTAACTAGGTATTATTATGCTTTGATAAAATTTTAGAACAAATAACTATTGTTCTAGGATTGCTGTTTTACAGATAGGCAAATTAGAGATGATAAACTAATGGTAAGGCTAACTAGTATATTCAATAAAAATGCTCTACATTCAATTTCATTAAAAACATATTCATAATATTGACATTTACTAATTTGTCGGAGTCGTTACATTTACTTTTGTGACAATTGAAACAGTCTTTCAAATAATTAAATTTTTTTAAATATATTGAAGCCTAAACAATTTATAAATTTCTAATATGAAAAAAAAAAAGAAATTCATCTTCAGATCTTGCTTTGTAGAATCAGCATTCCACTCTTCAAAGCTATCTTCCAGCATATCCTACAAGTAAAACGTAATTTTAATGGAAGCAAAGTCCTGATTACTTTGCTATAATTATTTTTATTATTTAATTTATAAAATGAAGTAATTTTGTAACTTTATATGCTGATGGACCAGAAGTTCGTCTTATATTATTGTGGCCTGCCAAGTCTCATTGGTTTGGTCTGTCAAATGAGTTTCATCTTTTTTGAGTTTTTTATTTTTATTTATTTATTTTTTTGGAGGGGGTCGTGGTGACTTAGGTATCCCTTTCTATCACTGAACACCACTTTTAAGGTAGTTGAGGATGTCCGAATTCTTCACCAATTCCATTTTTAGTTTTGCAATTCTAATGTGGACACACTGTTTCTGAGCTAATGCTTTTCAATCTCATAGGACTTGTTCTGATGTTGCTATCATGGCATAGTCATCAGGTTTCTATCTCAGTTTTTACCATTTTTTAGTGGTTCATACTTAAATGGCCAATGGCAAGCATAAATTATTATTTTCCTCAATTCCTGCATACATGGAGATGGGTACATTTTTGTCTTTTCTTGTTGAGATGTTAAGTCACTTTTTGATTGTATTGCACCACATTTGGGGTGTGTCAATTTGCGGTGTGAGGACTTGGGCTCCTATTTTTGCCAGTTTTTCAGCCTGTTTGACAGCTTTAATACCCTGATTACTTTTTCCAGGAGGCATTCCCAAACAAAATTTGAGCTGAAGGTAGAAGAGACTAAGGCCTTCAGTGCTGCTTAGCTGTGTGAGAATTTGTGCACCTTTTAATTCTTTTTTAAAGATTTCTTGCGCACAGAGTTCTATTGCATGAATCTCAGCTTGTAAAATTGATGGTGGGGGCCTAGAGATTTTGCTAGGTCAAAATTTGTGCCTTTGACTCCTGTCTCCTTCCCATGTTCCATTTTCGGAACATCTATTTTCCATAATAAAGCATCTCCATTAGTTTAAGAGATTTGATTCTTTTATCCAAATAATTGTTGTTTCTATTTGGAAGGGTCTGGCAAAATTTTGTTTTTTCTTTGTCAAACATTTCTGTAGCCATCTTATTGCAAATTCAGCAAAGCATCCTCTCCAGAAAAATTTCCAGGAGTTTAAAACCCAGACAAAAACTATAATGTTCTTTGAGAAACATGAATGAGGAACTTTTCTGCTTTATCACCATATGGATTTAATTGATCGTTTTTATAAATTTTTTCTTTTTTAGGCCCCTAATAATTTTTTCTCATTTTTTTGAATTTATCCTGAGGTCAACATACCTGTTGATGTATGTACATATTCCTGAGTGGAATAAAATTTATGTATGTTACCACACGTATTTTTCTTATTGAAAAAACCTGAAATATGTAAGTTCGTTCATAATATAATTAATATGAAAACGCGATACAGAAAGTGACTGCTTGGTTTGCAGAAGAAAATGGTTCGAAGCCTGGTTTTTCTTATCCACAGTGATGCTTGGTACGTATTCCCCATGGATAAGGAGAATCTACTGTATAACGTGTCTACTAAATTAACTGTTTTATTGTTTTAGCATAAAATTTTATCACTTTAAAATATTTTAACAAGATGATGGTCCTCTTATAGGATTTAAATTAAAAAAAGTATTTATTTATATTATTTGTAATAGAAAACTTTATTATATTATTATGAATAAGTATGTGCAAATTATTGGAAAAAATCCTGAACCTTAAAATAATTTGGGCAATTTATAATTTTTTTATTTGTCACTTTAACTGAGAAGAAAATAAAATTTTGTTATAAACAAATTATTATTGCAATATATGATATTTTAAAATTGTAAATAGAAGGATTAAATAATTCATTCGGACGCATTGTTAAAAAGCTAAGATATAAAAGAAATAATTAGGACTAGTCTAGTTGAAAAATCCTGATTTCAAAATCGACTTTTCTTTTGAAATCATTGTAGACAGACGTTCCGAAGGAGACTGGAAGACACAAATGGTCATCTAGTCAGTTTATATCCCACCTAGGATTGTGAGACTAACAGGTGGCAGCACAGTAAAGAACGAGAGTAGGGCAGAGGGGTGATATATATATAATCACTTTAATAGGCCGTACACTTAGGACGGGGACGGCATCGTCCAAGGCGCACGCAGGTCATCAAACTAAAATCACGATGACACTAATCCCATCTCTGCTCCTCCTCCTGGCGATACTTCGGCCGTGCTTTTCGGTCGTCGGTAAGTGTGCAAATATACACTAAAACCTAATATGCTTATTATAAATAAATTAATAAATAATGATAAATAAAAAATGATATTAGGGATTGGTCAAAATCTCAAATATTGCCTTTATTGTAAGCAATTTGACAAGTCAAACATATTTAAATGGAAAAAGTCGAAATTATTTAAGTTTTTTCTTCTTCTTCGTGAGTCTTGAAAAAATTGTAGGAATTGCGGCATACACAATAGAGGTTATTAGGTGCAGATTGTATGTTTGTTCTTCATTCTTCATCTTCCATTGAAGATTCAATTTAAGTGTAATTCGAGCACATGGGTGTTGGAATGTACGAATTCATTGTGCTCAGATAGAACACGCGCGAATGCAAAATATTACTTTTTTAAAATATTACCTTTTTTTAATTTTTGGAAGTTTCATTATAATGGTTTGACTTGCCTTGTACGACACTTTACCGTGAGATTTAGGTTTGTTTAACAAAAAATATTGATTTATATGATTAATTTGAATTGCTAAATTTATTTTCTGGATACTTCTTTACTTATTTTTATTGTAAAGAAAGCAACGAGGCTTTATTTAATAGTCTCTCTCCTCTCTTTCGCTCTCTCTCTCTCTCGCTCTCTCTTACTCTCTCTCTCACGTTAAGTGTACGAAAAGTCGAAGGGACATAAGTTTGTGTGATTAATCAAAACGATCAATCAATCTCTCTCTTTTTCTCTCTCTAAGTTGGCAAGGATTTCTCAAATAAAACGATATTAATTCATTCTTTCATATTCTCTCTATTTCGCCTTCTTTTATTTTTCTCGCCTTCTTGATTTTCAACTATTATTCATACAAAAGGTCAATCTGAATGTCTCTCTCTCTCTCTCCTTCTCACTTCCTCTCTCTCTTTCTATTTTTATCTCACTCTCTCTCACACGTTAGGTGTACGAAATGTGGAAGGGACATAGGTTTGTGTGATTGACCAAAACAATCAATCAATCTCTCTCTCTTTCTCTCTCTAAGTTGGCAAGGATTTCTCAAATAAAACGATATTAATTCATTCTTTCATATTCTCTCTATTTCGCCCTCTTTTGTTTTTCTCGCCTTCTTAATTTTCAACTATTATTCATACAAATGGTCAATCTGAATGTCTCTCTCTCTCTCTCTCTCTCTCTCTCTCTCTCTCTCTCTCTTTCTCACTTCCTCTCTCTCTCTCTTTCTATTTCTATCTCACTCTCTCTCTCACACGTTAGGAGTACGAAATGTGGAAGTGACATAAGTTTGTGTGATTAACCAAAACGATCAATCAATCTCTCTCTCTTTCTCTCTCTAAGTTGGCAAGGATTTCTCAAATAAAACGATATTAATTCATTCTTTCATATCCTCTCTATTTCGCCTTCTTTTGTTTTTCTCGCTTTCTTAATTTTCAACTTTTATTCATACAAATGGTCAATCTGAATGTCTCTCTCTCTCTCTTTCTTCCGGATGGATCCATTAATTTATGTAATTCATCATGGAATAGGCAAGTAAATTACATTATTAAAAAAATATACACTCTAAAACACTCTAATATACAGATGCAACAAGTTGCCATATTATGAATCAGTTCAAATAAAAAAGGATATATTTTTCATTATGTCTCAAATACTTGATCGCATTGTAGTCGTGAGTTTCTTGAATTATGAATTCATAAAAACTTGAAAAGTGTATTAAAATGTTAATAAGATTCATGCTAAATTTAAAAATTATTATTTGGAGATCGTGAGATGCGGTCTGATGTGATGAAGGTTTAGAAAAACATTTTCTTGCATAATTGTACATGAAGTATAATTGTATGTCATAAAAATGTATATATCATAATGTCATAAATCTACAATTTAAACAATGTTTATAAATCCCAGGCCCTGAAGATGATCTCAATAAAGATCGAAACGTTGGCACGTTAAAGTAAACGTTTTTCTAAACTTACATCACATTCGACCGCATCTCATAATCTCCAAATAATCAACAATTAACGGTCACTAAATTTAAAATATTATGATAAAATTTATGACGAATATAAACCATTAGGCATCCTAAAATTGCAATATGTACAAACTTTAGCAATTGGTACCTTCAATTACAAAATAATTAAATACACTTCACAATATTTTTATGAAAATTATAAATATTTTTACAATGTGTATAATATTAATACTTATTTAGAGATCGTGAGATGCGGTCTGGTGTGATGTAGGTTTTATAAAAACATTTTCTATATCGTGCCAACGTTTCGAATTTTATTGAGATCATCTTCAGGGCTCAAAGTGTTTGTTTTCCCACTCTTGGCCACTCTCAACAGGACCCACAAGAATGGCACACCTACACGGAAAACAAACACTTTGAGCCCTGAAGATGATCTCAATAAAGATCGAAACGTTGGCACGATAAAGAAAATGTTTTTCTAAACACACCAGACCGCATCTCACGATCTACAAATAATCATTAACTAACGGTCACTAAACACCACACAATATTAATACTCGTCATTCAAACCAGTTGTGAATTCCAAAATACAAAACAAAAACACTTAGCAACTCTTTTTTACTAAAAAGCATTAGGGTCATAGACAATTAGTAATAATCTAAAAAATAAAATATTCAAAAATAAATTAAAAGAAACACTAATTTCAAAACTTGTATAATCATCCTCTTGTCTATGAATCTACATATAAGTTTTTTATTATGTCTACTTATATGCATTTATTAGTCATAAATGACAGTATTCATTATTTTAATTAATTATACTTCTTCACTAAGGTTTTTGCCGGGATCCCGCTCGTGTCACTAGCTTTTTCATCTCAACCAAGACCTTCTTAGATAAAAAGCGTAATTAATTCAATTAATTACGTTTACAGATAAATTTTACATCATACTTAAATAAATTTTTTTTTGTTTTTTAAACTTAAATTTAATAATTTTTTCTACCAAATACTCCTTGATAAATACGGTCACTAATTCACTTGTTAAATGGTTATAATATGATTATATATTTTTAATTTTTTTAAAATTTTTTCTTTTATATCTACATCAAGATTTTATGTTTACAGTTTATAGTTTTTTATCTTTTGTAGTCTTTATAAATTGAAATGATGCATCGTTTATAATACAATTTGATATATTTTATATTACACACTACATATTAAATTAAATACTGATTCGAGCTAAAACTATGTATGTTCCATATTCATTTGTTTATTTTGTATTTATTTTTGTCAAGTGGAAATCGTTGATTGTAAGAAAGGTCAATATGACCTATATCTGCGTGTATAGGTAATAAAGCCTTTCAATTCAATTCAATTCACCTTCCTTTGTTTCTCTCGCCTTCTTAATTTTCAACTATAATAAATACAGATTCTCTCACACACACACACACACACACACACACACACACACACACANCTCTCTCTCTCTCTCTCTCTCAATCATTCATTCACTCACTCTCTTTCTGTCTCACTTTCTTACTCATTCACTCACTCACTCTCTCTCTCTCTCTCTCTCTCTCAATCATTCATTCACTCACTCTCTTTCTGTCTCACTTTCTTACTCATTCACTCACTCACTCACTCTCCCTCAAACTCACAATCCGCCTTTATACGTTGGGTAAGCCAAGGGAGACTGAATTCCAATTTTTGAATTTTTCCGTAAAATAGAACAACTCGCTTTTTCCTTTGAAAATCTGTTATGTGAAAAAATGAAAATTGCTCATTTTGCCGAAATTAGACACGGCTGGTTATATTAAAAACGTGCCATTTTCACCATTCTGTTTGGTACATTTAAAAGAAATTGTTTGTGGACATACGTGTGCCAATTGGCCAATGAATGCCAATCTGGTTTATTTGTTTTTAACAAATGAAATTTATGAAATTCTTTATATTTTTATCGTCTTTGGTAAAAATCTTGAAAATATTATGAGGTAGGTAATAAATAAAACGTAAATTGTTTCATGAATCGTTCGGCTTATTATTGTTAGAGAATAATTTGACTAAATAATAATTAAATTGCTCGAATGCTAATTAGTTTTATCAGAAGTAGCTAAAATTTGCTTAATGCCATTCTTAAATTAGTAAATAATTTGTCTATAAAATATGTCGAGAAAATGCAATTTTTATTTGCTTCAACAAGTAAAAAAAGAAAAAAAGAAGCGAAATATATTTGTACAATAGAATAAACTTACTTTTAGAGGATTTAATTATATAATTACTGACCAATAGTAAATATCTGGTGACGGGTCTTGTTTGTTAAATATTGTCGTCATAATAACTGTTACATAATAATATAAAATTGTTTCTGTCCAACGTGAAATCGTTTTGAATAAAAATTCGCCGGAAATATTAATTTTGTCATTCCTATTAACTAAATGAAGTTGCACCTTGCCTGTTTCAAGGATACAACTTCAGTAAATTTTAATTATATCATTAACCTACTTAAAAAAAGAAAACAAAATTGTATTATTTTCATTAAAATAGTGATTGTTTCTAACTGGTATAAAGAAAATAACTGACGTTGTAATAAATTTCTACAATGTGACTTAATGATGGTTTCGTGACCTGGGGTGTGATTGTAAAAATTTCAGTGAAGAATTGTCGTTCGTCTGTTTTTTTTTTTAATTTTCTTTTCGTTTCACAAAATAATCACTGAAGAATCCACGGAGACAAAACCTCTGGCATTAGGCACAGCAGGATAAAAGGAGGCGATCAAACCACGATTCAGCTATTAGACTTAAGCACAGAAAATTTAATTTGTGCTTGTCAATAATATTTTCTATGTGTGGTGTTTAGTGACCGTTATTTAATGATTATTTGAAGATCGTGAGATGCGGTCTGGTGTGACGTATGTTTTAGAAAAACATTTTCTTTATCGTGCCAACGTTTCGATCTTTATTGAGATCAGGGCTCAAAGTGTTTGTTTTCTGCGTAATTGTGCCATTCTTGTGTGTCGTATTGAGAGTGCCCTCTACAAACACTTTGAACTCTGAAGATGATCTCAATAAAGATCGAAACGTTGGCACGATATAGAAAATGTTTTTATAAAACCTACGTCACACCAGACCTCATATCACGATCTCCGAATAATATTTTCTATATTTTCTTCTATTAGACTAACGAAACTTGAGAATCCGAAGGTTTATTTCATGAACCATCGTCTCCGATTATTCTGGTTTTGTCCCTCAGCTTTCCAAAATTTCAATGATTTTGATGTTATTTTGTCTCATGGATCGTCTTTAGGTTTGCTTGTTCTTGTTGGTTTTATTGCTTATACGAAAATTTCTATGGTTAGACTGTATTTTTTCTCGTATGCATGTCCTTTTAAATTAGAAAAACGCTCAATGTCAAGAGTTGGGTTTGACAAAGTGCCATGTTTTATTCTTGTGGCACACTAAACAAATGAGCTTACAAACCAGCTTTTCTAGCTTTACGTTTACGTTCATTCGTAGCTTTTTTCAAGCATTTTCATCTCAAAATCGCTAAATATTAATGATTACTGTGTGGTGTTTAGTGACCGTTAATCAATGATTATTCGAAGATCGTGAGATGCGGTCTGGTGGGGCATAGGTTTTAGAAAAACATTTTTTTTATCGGGCCAACGTTTCGATCTTTATTGAGATCATCTTCAGCGCTCAAGGTGTTTGTTTTCCGTGTGTCCGTGTATGTCTGGCCCTCTCAACATGACACAAAAGAAAGACATATCTACACGGAAAACAAACACTTTAAGCCCTGAAGATGATCTCAATAAAGGTCGAAACGTTGGCACGATAAAGAAAATGTTTTTATGAAAACTACATCACACCAGAGCGCATCTCACGATCTCCGAATAATCAATAGTGATTACTATTAATAGTAAGTTATGAAGGAGCTTTAAATTAAGAAGAAACTAAGCTCACTCGAAGAAAAATATTCACGCCAAACTTTGCGACAACATTTTGGGTGGAATGATGTGGTTTTTCAAATAATCTAAATTCAATAGATTAAATATTGAGGATTTACATGAAATCTGTTAATATAAAGTCTTCAAAGTGCATGAAATCAAGCATAAACTAAGGATTGTTTTTCAAAAATCATCAATTTGTTGAAACCAACTTTTCTAGCAACACTTTCAGGTTCATTTTTGTCATGTATTTTCACTTCAAAAATATCTGAATATTATGAATTGCTTGTCAAAGCGCCTTTTTTTACATCGAGTAGAAACTCATTGCTCAAAATATAATAACGGTTTATTTTACGGTTCTGACAGACCAAATCAGCAAAGTATGTACCTTGACTGCCCCAAACCAAACAGTTCAGACGGTCCCTAGGAGGTAGTTGGTGTCCACATAGGCCGAATCTGTTTTTTTAGCTTCGTTCCATTTCTTCAAGGCAACTGAGAAGTTCAAGGTGACAGCACGGCCGAAATTGCTCTGCGAGATGGTGCTTATGGTTCTGGACAATGTCGATCTTCTGCCTCCGTTGCCCATTGTCGACTAATTCGCCTTTCCGCCTCGCCTTTCTTAAAGAACGCCTCAGTTTACTCAGTGAGATAAAGTGATAACTACTTAAATAATTTATAACAAATAAATTTTCGAAAAGGCCCCGTTTATTTGCCTTCTTGCCATTCATTGGGCGAAGTGTGTACAAAACAGTTGGAAATAACAAAACAGGTTAAGAATTTTTTGTTTTTCCTAGTGACAAATTATTGCGCTTACATTTCTAAAAAAAATTAGTATCTATCAAAAGATAAGGAAAAACAACAGTACAATAGAGAATTTTTTCAACTTCAAAAATTCTCTTACAATTCATAGAATTTGGTCTTTTGATAAAATCCTTACCGATAAAAGAAATTATCTGGTGTTCAAATATAATTTCAAATATTGAAAAATCTTGTTGATCTGAAAAGAAAAAAAACAACTTTTTGTTGGAACAACCCAACGTTAAAGTAACAACGATATTAAAATCCCATAAAGATAGAAAATATAAAATCATTTTGGTTACTTTGTTGACGAAAATAATATTTCCTTATACATTACATTACATGCACGCAATATTTAAAAAAAAAATTCTTTCTCTACTTTTACCATATTCTATTTACTATCTTTCATAATCTTACTTCAATTTTTGTACATGTAAACAAAACATAGTTTAATTAATTTTTCCACAATTCGTTAGTGTAGGTCATTTCTAAATCTTAATTTCCGTTTTCATATGCAATAACTGATGGAAATTGGTTCATTGTTACCTATTTGACATGCCAGGAGGTCGCTAGGCTTGAACAATCAACCTTTTGACAATTTAGAATCGAAACAGTCATGAAATTTGCTATAAGGTGTTTCTAACTTGTCGCTTCTTTATGAATGTACATTTTTTACAAATATAAATCAAAGGAAATTTTGTTTATGTAGATTTTATCTGATTTTATCTCATAATAGAATGTTTTATCCCTGGTGATATAATCAATCCTTATGACTTCCGTATTGAAATGGAGTGATTAAAGCGATAAACAATATTTTTACAATTAGGATCATTCTTTCATGATGTTTAAATCGCTTTTCATTGCTTAATTATAACCAGAAGTTAATATCATCATGTAATTTTAATGTAGTAAAAACCGCACAATTTTAAATTTACATTTTTTAATCTCCGACCAACAGTTTTTTCAACTGTTATTCAACTATCCAATCGTGTGGTAGATATTGTCGCCTCTTTTCTTTAGTTTGAGCAGTACTGCTCTGGGACATTTCTTGACGTTCGTCAAGATTCACTATTTTCTTGGTCCGCTTGACCAATTAATACTTTACAATTAATTAGGTTTTTAGTTGAGATGAAAAAAAGTTAATAGCACGAAAGGGATTCGAACCGACGACCTTCGGCTAGATACGCCGCTGCTCTACCACCTGAGCTATCGTGACCTCGATCCACTCGGACATCAACTCCCCATCTCAACCCCACATTATGAGTTTTCCCTCCTTTTGCCATTTTTCATTTTTGCATTTGTAAAATGGCAAAAGGAGGGAAAATTCAAAAGGTGGGGTTGAGATGGGGAGTTGATGTCCGAGTGGATCGAGGTCACGATAGCTCAGGTGGTAGAGCAGCGGCGTATCTAGCCGAAGGTCGTCGGTTCGAATCCCTCTCGTGCCATTAACTTTTTTTCATCTCAACTAAAAACCTTAATTAATTGATCGTCAAGATTTTTATTGAGTTTGGAACCCGGGTTTTCAGTTCATGCACAAGGGCACCTCTACCTACTATTTTTATACTGGCAGTTATCTCATTGACCAGTTTTTCCGAGTTATCAGTAATTCCCTCTCAGAATATTTCCCTGTCCATGCTGGGGTCGTGTCGGCTTCGGGTCGGCGGGTGCTTTATCAGAGGCACACGAGGGTTAGGGTACCAGATCCTATCTGCATAGACGGGGGAGGGTTTTTTTTTAAATTTATTTATTTAGTACCCGATTCAGGTATTCATAACCATGTGCAATTATTATTTACAATTAATTTAATACAATTTTGCTAACAAAATTATTTAAGGCTTCAATGTGGTCTCTAATCAAATTGTGAAGGTCGGGTGGCCATTGTCCACCTTTACATACAACGTCCCTTATTAGAGATTTTCGACGTGGTTCTTGAATGGGGCAGTCGAATGTGGTCCCACGTTTGTTGAGGTCTCCCTGGACAGTCGCATTCCGAATCCCGTGTTATGTGGAATCTATAGAGATATTCTCGATTTCGTCCTTGGCCGCTTATAAGTTGGGTAAGCATATGGTGGTGTTTCAGATCTACTGCCGTCGTTGATTCTACCGTTGGCAAGAAGTTTTTAGTTTGAAGACCTTTAGCAGTACGTCTCCAACGTTCTTCCCATTGGGCCAATGTCATTTTCGAGGCCATGGAGATGACGTAGCTTTTCGGCACTACTGTGATTGTTGTTTCTGGTTCAGAGTGTTCTGTAGCTTCCTTTGCTGTTGCGTCGGCTTCCTCATTATCTTGGATCCCTGTGTGCGCTGGTACCTTTTCAATACTGATATTCCAGTCATTATCACGCAATGATTTTATCATATTTCTGATGTCGGATACCATCAGGTTTCGTGCTTTGTAATTTTTAATTTTATCAATGGATATGCGGCTGTCATCACTATCGCGTTTTTGTTCACTTGCTGTGCGAGCCATTGAAGAGCCTTCAGGATAGCAATGAGTTCAGCTTGGTTGTTCGAGCACCAGGTAGCGAGTCTAGACGGTGGAGGGTGCATAACTATATGTACTACGGGGTAATAGAAATGTTCCAAAATTCAGCCCCTGTTACATTGGGAATGGATTCGTAGTGGTTGTGGTGACGCCCCTGCGGGAACTTAGAGAAGAAGCTGTCTTCTACCTGTGACCTTCGTATGAAACTTGCGTATGATCACCGTTATACACCCGGCCTCACGGGATCCGGCGGATCGGATGGCAGCGTATAAGCGTTGAAGACGCTATGATTATGCTGAAAAGTCCCTCCAATGCGTGAGAAGTGGCGGTTGGGAATAATGAATCGGTTGCTCCTACTCGAGTATGCTTTGCAGGTAGTTGTAGGCTGAGCTCGATTGGAGGCTTTTACCGTAGGCGGTCTCATCTAGGAGGTGGTTAGCAATTCCACTTTAAACAAATCCGCGGCCGGAGCGGATCCGGTAGTTTCTACGCTAGAGAAGGCCCAATACTCTGGGAGATAGAGTGGCCTTCTCTATCTAGGGAGTGCGCGGGAGACCAGGCTGATGTATTTCGGCTTAGGTAGCCCTATGCGCGCGGCATACGGTCTGATGCTTAATGCAGATCCGACCACTCGGAATGGGCAAGCGGGGAGCGAGGTTGTCTTGGGCCTTCGTGGCTGAACTGCTTCTACACCAATGCTGCGGCAGTAACACCATTCTGTCGTATGTGGAGGTGCGTCAGCCCTCATCTTGAGAATTAAAACGTCCGATAAGGCCGAATAGGCTAGGTGCGGACGTTAAAGATCCCAATTGTCCTTTTAAGGACGACGAGTATACGGGAAAGCATGTCCATGCTGGGGTTTCTCAGGGCAGAGTTTTGGCCCCCACACCGTTCCAGGTTTACACCTGCCATTTCCGTAACGCCTTTAAGCCAACACACATTTGCGGACGTACATCTTTTCTCTCTTGTAACTCCGATCCTGTAATTTCCTCTCAAAACCTTCAACAACACCTCATTCTACTAGAGTCTTGGTGTGAAAAAAAGAAAAAAACAGAGAACAAGAAATTTAGACAAATCCATCTTCACTCTCAGTAAAATGATTTCCCCCTACAGTCTAATAAAAAAATACATATTCCCGTCCCAACTGCGGACAAGGTGCGGTAACTCAGATTGTACAAACGCTTGACGTGTAATCCTCACACACCACTGTAACGCCAAGAAGTTATGAGACGATTATTCTTTGCTGACTTCCTGACAAACTGTATGACTTACTTCTCAAAAAGAGAAGGCCGCTTTACAACACCATAGTTTAGCCGATGGACTTATGGATGAAAGAGGTTCAGCCAAACGTCAAACTACGCAATCCTTAATCTTACGAAAAATCCTTGATGCTCTATTTTCTGTATCAAACGAAACTACGTATTTAGACTTAAATGTTCCATTAATCCAAGATTAAATCGGCTCTTGTTATCGAAAATTCCACAATACTAATCAAACCTTATTCGGAGATCGTGAGATGCGGTCTGGTGTGACGTAGGTTTTAGAAAAACATTTTCTTTATCGTGCCAACGTTTCGATCTTTATTGAGTTCATCTTCAGGGAACAAAGTGTTTCTGTGTAGTTGTGCCATTCGTGTGTGGGGCCCTCTCAACACGACACACAAGAATGACATATCTACACAGAAAACAAACACTTTGAGCCCTTAAGATGATCTCAATAAAGATCGAAACATTGGTACGATAAAGAAAATGTTTTTCTAAAACCTACGTCACACCAGACCGCATCTCACGATCTTCAAAAAATCTTATCTAGATATAAATGAAACTAAACCTCTCCTTTTTAAACGTCTTTTACATGGGAAATATGAAAAAATGTTGAAAACACAAATCTGTAAATTGAAGGTTGTTCTTCCTATTTGTTTCCTGTCTTTTTTTAGTAATGAAAGTTGCAAGGACATTTCACTACAGGCGGCTGATTTAAAAAAGGATTCTTTTCATCATACCAGGCCATTACAGATCCATATAATTAAACAATAATGGCGAAGCCCGCAGTGCCCTCAATTTATGTAAATATCCGGTTGATGAACTATTAAAAAACCTGACTGCGCAGTTCTTCGGTCAATGATCAAGGATCAAATTGATGGCGGGATTCGATCCACTCTTCTTGTTTTTTTGAGGCGTGAATAGGTTTTTACAAAATACCCCCAATAATCTAAGATCTGGGAACAATGGGAATAATAATATCGATGGGTCTGTCTCTCTTTCTATCCTCCTTTCATTCTTCCTCTTCTCCTTTTTTTATATAGACAGGGTGTGCCGGTGAACAGAC